ATTTTCTTAAATTAAACTATTCATTCAAGCTAACTATAGGAAATAGGAAGATAGGTCTCACAAGGGTTTATAAATATAAAACTATTAAAAGTTTGAACTATTTTTTATAAATAATTTATTTTAAAAATACAAATTTTAAATTTTGGGAAATTTCAATTTAGCATTTAGTATTTAATTTTTAATCATTATTAGTTTTTTTTTTTAAAAATATTATTAAATTTCGTTTAAAAATTTATTATATATGTCGTTCTGGGATATGGAATCCGTGGGGATTTGAAATTAAAAAATTTTAAAATCCGAAACCGGAAATGTAATCTAGCACGTGTAGAGTATTTACCTTATAAATTTCAGCCAATTTCAGCCATAGACATTTTACTATTTTTTAATTTATCCATATAAAAATTAATATTAAATAGGAGTAGTTCTATAAAGTTCATGGCAAAATTGGCTGAGATCAAAGGGTAAATACTTTACACATGCTAGAATACATTTCTGGTTAAATCGCCCTCGATAAAGGATTTAAAAATTCCGAATCCCCATAGGACATATATAATCAAAAAGCGATTGAATAACGAAAACATTGAAAATGTATAAATTTTTAATTTAAAAATTATAGTTTTATTTGTACACGAAAATCACAAAAGATTTTACTTATAAAAGATTTTGGTAATTTTAAAAATAAAATTTGTTCAAAAATCTTTCTTCTTTCAAAACATAAAAAAACTTAAAAAATTTTTTGATTATTTTTTTTGCAAACTGATAATAGTTCAAGCTGCTATCTCTTTCCATTTAAACGGGGTAAAAAAAATTAGGACGAGCGAAGTCATTGTAAGATATAGGAAGAAAACAAGCAATTTTAGGGCACGATTGTAGGTAAGCTTAAAATAACGCGATTTCGCTCAAATGACACTTAATTTATTGCTGAACGATATCTAAGCGGTATAATTTAGGGTTATGCATTTTGTTAATCGCGCTACGCGTTGCTTGATGAATGACATCACTCCGCGGAGGTCTAACTTAAATTTAATATTTTTTTGAAATTATTTTGAATGGAGTATCAATATTTGGATTTTTTTCATTTTCCTTATTTACTGCCCAATCCATTTGGAATACCATTTGTCAAATATTATTTTAATATTATAAAATTCTACATTTAAAATTCCTGATTACAATTATATAAATAAATAGTTAACATTTTTATTGTTAATTTTTTTTAAATTTTAGGGGCATGTTTTAATTGGCCAATTTTACTGTTAAGGATTTAATAATAGATATTTTGGGTTAGGAGTATAGGGTAATTTTAAAAGCCTATCGCAAAGAAAGCGAAATTAATAAATTTGCTAAATACAATATCATTTTGCAAACAGCTGTGAATTCAAGAGAATATTTTTTTTTGGTTTAAGGCCTGGCCTCAAACTAAGTGATATTAATTTATTTCGGTTGTCAACCCGAATATAAAACATATGTTTTAGGAAAAAATTACATTAAATTAGTAGCTAATGCGAAATATTATTGGGGCAAAATGGTGAATATTTAATAATAGTTCAAGGCCCCCGACTAGCCCAAATAAAATCTTAAGAAATTTTTTTTTAAATTATCCGAAACACTAAGAAACACATGATATTTAAGACGACTATAATTAAAATATCCTTACCATATCATTTACATAAATATAATTAAAAATAGAAAGACATTATCCAAATATTATAGCCAGTTGTGTCCAAGGGGTAGTGTTGTTAGAAAGCCTGATTTGGGTCGAGTACGGCCCAATTAATATTATAACCAATATAACATTATGTGAGCCTAAAGATTTTGGTCATAGCTGGCTGAAATATTTGGACATCGATTTGCCAAACCTCGATGCTTACATAATATTAGTTAAAATCTTAATCAGGCCTAAATATTCCTTGGCCCGGCTGGGTTTAAAAAAATATTTTTTTTAAATATCCGGGCCGGGCCATATACTTTAAAACCAAATATTTAAAAAATCGACCCCAAAATCGGGCCTTTTAACAAAAACTACCAAGGGGCAATCCAAAATGTTGGATGGTGAAATATAAATACAATATATTTTAATTCTACCCTATAAAAATGAGATGACGATTATTTTTATTTAGTGATTTAAAACAAATATGGATGGATAAATAATCATAAAATTGAATTATCTAAGTTCTATAAAATATAGCGATAAATATTAATTAAATAATAGAAAGAAAGGAAATTCAACAAAATTAAATGCAATTAAACAAGAATTTTTTTTAATAAGTGAATATTGAATTTTTTCAAACAAAAATATATAAAAAAGGACCTCTGTATCCTTTGCCAAAAAAAAAATGAAAATAATACAAGATTTTTTTTGAAAATAAAATCCCCAGATAGAGAATTTTACTAAAAATGTCGATCGTTTATTTTATTATATACATAACATTTTTATTTAAAAAAAAAATTAACATGAATTTATATTTGGGCACGCCTAAGAAAAGACTTTGTATTTCTTTCTTCTTCTTTCTTTCTTTCTTTCTTTCTTTCTTTCTTTCTTTCTTTCTTTCTTTCTTTCTTTCTTTCTTTCTTTCTTTCTTTCTTTCTTTCTTTCTTTCTTTCTTTCTTTCTTTCTTTCTTTCTTTCTTTCTTTCTTTCTTTCTTTCTTTCTTTCTTTCTTTCTTTCTTTCTTTCTTTCTTTCTTTCTTTCTTTCTTTCTTTCTTTCTTTCTTTCTTTCTTTCTTTCTTTCTTTCTTTCTTTCTTTCTTTCTTTCTTTCTTTCTTTCTTTCTTTCTTTCTTTCTTTCTTTCTTTCTTTCTTTCTTTCTTTCTTTCTTTCTTTCTTTCTTTCTTTCTTTCTTTCTTTCTTTCTTTCTTTCTTTCTTTCTTTCTTTCTACATTATGTAAGCCTAAAGATTTTAAATGCTTAAATAATCTCGATGCTTACATAATATTGTTTTAGCTAAAATCTTAACCTGGCCGTTTTAAAATATCGACCCAAATAGGGCTTTTTAACAACACCACTAAAGATTTTCCAATTTTGATCAAATATCTTGTATGAGCAATGTTAAATTGTTTTTTTAAAGCTTTCATTTTGAGCAGGTTGTGAAAACTGAAACCCTATTTAAAATAAAATATCGTAGGTTCGATTCACCACTCAAGTGTTTTAGATATATTATTATATTTTAATCGGTACAAAAAAATATATTCCTTATATTATTTAACAGAATTAGAAGCGAAAATGGTGAAAAATTAAATGAGTTGCAGTGTTGTTAAAACGCCATGATTCATGAACCCAACTTTAAATTCCTGTCCTTATTTTGCCTTCTACCCAAAGTTGGGGTTCATTTTTTGGACCCGACCCAAAATCGATAATTTTATTGACCCCGATTCGGGTTGAATCTAGTTTTAAAAAATTATTTTACTTTTACAATCTTTTGATTTTTGGTATTAAAGCATTAATATTTTAAGCTATTCTTTTTAAATTCATGAAGGGATTACCATTATAATCAAAAAGTGTAATGAATAATGAAAAGCGCAATTTAGGGGGGAGGGGGTAGGTAAAAGTTTTAGAGGGCGAAATGTATCCAGTACTGTTATTAAATTGCTGGATAGCTTGGCCAAAAACCTAACAAGTTTTAAGCCGAAAAAACGAAAACGATCTTAAACCCGAGCCAATCTATTTAGTCACAGATCCGATCTGATCAATGGGCCAGATGAGTTATTGAGTCTACTGGCTGGGTCAACAAAATAATTAGAAAATTAAACTAGTTTGTTTTAATCCTAGTTTAGAGTTTTTATACTAGAAAGAGGTTCTAAAACCTTTGGATTTAATAATAAACTGGTACTGCCATTATATACGAGGAAGAAAATATGAAATTTTTTAAATTTTGTTTTAACCTAGTTAAAAGTTTTTGATACCAGAAAGATGTTCCACAACCTTTGGTTCTAGTAATATATTGGCGCTGCTATTAAAATATTTTACTCTATGAGAAAAAAATATTAAAATTTTTAGGGACTTTGAAAAGTTTTTGATACTATGTTCATAAACTTTTGGTTCTAATGATTAATTGGCACTGCCATTATATTTTATTGGCTGAGGGAAAAAATATTTATGAAAATTCATTAAAAAATTTTCTTTATCCTAGTTAAAATTTCTAATAGTAGAAAGATGTTCTAAAACCGTTAAACTGGCATTATATTATATTCCACGAGGTAAAAATAAAAAAATTTTTAAATTTTGTTTTAAGTCCTAAAGTTTTTGATACTTGAAAGATATTTTAAAACTTCTGTCTAATAATAAATTGATACTGCCATTATATTTTAAACCACGAGGAAAAAATATTAATATTTTTTTAAACTTTGTTTTAAGCTCAATTAAAAGTTTATGATGCCAGAAAGATGTTCTAAAACCTTGGTAGTAATATATTAACACTGCCATTATAATTTCATCCGGAGCTTTAAAAAAGGTAGGATCTTTAGGAATAATTAACAGGAATAGTAGGACATATTGTACGAAGACTAAATGATTAGCTTTTAAAGGTAAGAATCATTAAGAGTAGATATATAAATTTATGTAAATTATAAAAATATCATTGTATTGATCCTTTGATACGATAAAAATAGTGAACAATGTATAGTTTATTTTATTGAATTATTTTGATTTTTACTGAGTAATACAAAATAAACCCCAGGAATATAAGGGAATAATGATAGGTGTGCAGAAATGACAAGATCCGCAGGAATAAAAGGGAATAATGATAGGTGTGCTGAAATGACAAGATCCGCAGAAATAAAAGGGAATAATGGTGGGTGCAACGAAATGGGAAGTTTCACAAAAAGGTAGGATCCTTAAGAGAATAGATATATAAATTTATCTAAATATTATGGTTCTATATATATATTTTTTGTGTTTTAATGTTATTAGTAATATATACATATAATATATATTATTATTATATAAATTTAAAAATGATTACCAGACAAAACATAGAATATTTAAAAATTCGAAATAGTGTTACCATACCAAAGAAATCATATGGCTCACGGGACATTAAAAGCTTATTTGAGAGTGAATGTAGAGCCTAATAACTCTGTGCAAAAGGTTTTTTTAAAGCTAAAAAAGGCTATATTAATCTTTTTTAAAGCTGTTAAATATTATTGGGAATGATGAATCAATAGTTTACCTTGAAAATATATTGAAAGCTTTTAGGAATAACAAAATTAATAAGGTTATATTGCAGGACAATACTCAAATTTTATGGATAATGGAAGTAAATAGTTTACTAAAAATTTTTTATGTGACTTAACTTACAATAAAAATTTTTTTAATTAAATATTGAAAGATGTTTTAACATCAAAAAGAATTGAGTTATATTTAAAACCACATCAATAATTTAAATATAATAAGATTGTGTTTGTATGGGGACCTACTTTTCAAATTATTCTATTTGCCATAATAAATTTATGTGGGGCTGAGATCAAAAATAAACCAAAAAATCTAAAACTATTCAATATTTTTTCGATTTTAATTTTTTTGATTGATTTTATTTTTACTATAACATTTTTGTTGCAATTTACCTAAATCTGTTTTCATTTTTGATAGTTATTTTTACAATGTACTTTTGCTATATTTATTTTTACTTTTAGTTTTTTTTAATAAGGGCACTTTTGTCTTTTTTGAGTTTTTTAAAGTGTACCTTTTATCTAAATGTATTTTGGTTTAATATTGTTCCCAGTGCTATAATTATGGCTATAATTATGGAGGTGAGTGTGAGAAGCATATTAAAGTTATAACCCACCCCAAATGGAGATATGATACAGCAACATTTAATTTTAAAAAATTGACTGAGTATCATATAAATTAGTCATTTTTTTACCTAAATTTTCTATTGACATATTATTATTATTCTTTAATTCTTATAAAATAAAAATGATATTATATTGAAATAGTATTATTAGTAGTATTATTAAAAAGCCCAATTTGTGTAAATTTTTCAAAACAGCCCAATCTATGTAATCATCGAGATTTGGCAAATAGATGTCTTTGTCAGCTATGAGCAAAATAATTAGGCTCACAAAATGTTATTTTGGTTATAATCTTAATCAGGCCGTTTTTTTAAATTGACCCAAATCACTATTTAACAACACTAGTTATTAGTCTTAAATGTAGATTTTATCATAAATAAAATATAAACAATTATTTTTTTTTAAATTTAATAAATCATAAATATATTTTATATTTCTCTAAACACTAAACTTATATAATTATTTTTTGAAATTAAATTAAAGTTTCTCATAATATTTATAATCTTGCTATTACATTCATTAGGATATCTAAAATTTCCTTTCAGAGAGATAAATTGGAAAGTATGATACAATACAATATGTAAATAATTCCTTTTGAGTTCTGAACCCACCCCCTCCCCCCTTCTTTTTCCCCAAATCTTTTTTTGCCCCAAATAAAGTTTAAAACTTAAAAAAATAAATATTTTTCAGAAAAGTTCCAAAGGGGACAACACACTCTAGCCATACCTCCCCCCCCCCCTTAAAATATCTAAGGATTTTTTTCTTATTTTATTCAAATATTCAATATAATTAACTTGTATAATATTTAAATTTTATAAAATGGATATTAATTATACAAATTAATATTATATATATTTATAGTATAGTTAAAAATAGGGGATATTTATAATAATTCACATTTATATATTACTTTTTAGAAAAAATTTTTTTAATTTTTATAAGAGATAAGATAAGAGTTAAGATCCATAAAATAACTTACATAATAAGAAAAATCTATCTCAACTTATCTTTAATACTGAGGGGCATTAAAAGGTTACATTTTAAGGAACATATTGTTATTATTAATATTAAAAATCGCTAGCGTTACGTTACAAAAATTAGCTCGTGAATTGATAATATTTTTTAGTCTACTACTTGTATAAAACTTAATCGCGAATTTACGCTTTATCTTTATTACATTTTATGAATTTATTTTTGCGTTTATTTGCTTCGCTAAACAATCGCTGTTGAGATGAAAAAAGGGGGAGGGTGATTATTTTGTTTTTTTTATAAAAAGAATCTATATTTCCTTATATTCTATAAGGGAAATTTTTTGAAATGATGAGAAAAAAATGACATTTAAGGTCTTTCTTATCATTTTTATTCAAAAAAAACCGATGTCATCGTTGACTAATTATATTTTATATTGTGATTTTTTCGGCAGTGTGTTATTTTTTTCAACTTTAAATCATATTTTGCGCCTTTTTTTTAAATTAAAAAAAAATCTGATTTTACTGAAAATGTATTCCATCATGTTTGGAATACATACTTACCCTAAGAATTTCGGATAATTTTATCATGAACTTTCAAACTTAATTATAATTTATATTAGATTTTCCACGATATTTTTTTTACAATAATGATAAATGACTCAGGCCGCATTCATAGTGGACCCGATCCGACATGATTTAACAGCTGGTCGATTTTTAAAATCGGTTTATGAGAATCTATTTTTTTTTTATTAAAACCAATATTTCCTAGGTTATTATCATGTATAGAAGTAAAGAAAAAATTAATGATATTTAAAAAAAAATTTATCTCATAAACATATTTTAAAAATCGATCAGCTGTTAAATCGTGTCGGATCGGATCCACCATGAATACGGCCTCAAAGATTAACATCACAATTGTCTACAATTCATAAGATAGGTATTCCAAACATGATATATTTCCGGTAAAATCCGATTTTTAGAAAAAACTCATGACGCTTACATATATATATGTCGTAACAGAATTCGAAATTTTCTAATCGGAGCCTTTTAAAAAATTTAAGGATTTGAAATAATTATAAACGCAGCATTTTAGCATTTTTTTGATCACTAGTTAGTTAGTTATTGATTTTTTTTTAAAAAAAATATAGATAGTATTCCCAAAAGGGAACCCATAATTATAATCTTTTTTTTTCCAAGCATCTCTTGTAGAGTGAGTAATTTTATGGCCTATGGAGTTTTAAAAATTTAAAGGTAATGGGCGAATAGACGCTTAATACAATAGGGCTAAGAAAAATTTGTTTCAAATTTATGAATTTATTTTTCATTCTCAGTATTGTGCAGGGAATGATGACACGTAGGTGCACTCCCAGATTAACTATTCTTTTAGGGACAAAAAAAAATTTCGGGCCGGGGTGGGCACTAGTAACGATTCCCATAAAACCTAAGGAAGGGGGAGGGATTCAAAATGTCGGATTCAATTTTTAAAAATATATAAAATATGTGTATAAATAAGGCGCGAATAAAATCATATTTTCATTTATTTAATTCCGCGAAGTGAGAAATGAAAGTTGAACCTTGTATATAATTCTACCCTAACCTTAAGCTTTATAAGTTGGATTTTACCGGGTGTTGGCAAAATTTTCTTCGAACCTTGTATTGCCTCCTCCTTTATGCAGGTCACCGCACATGCCTGTTTTAACTAACCATAATAGGGTGTCCTAATAATCATATCACTTTTATGAATTAACTAATATTCAGTATAATATGTGCCATGCAAGAAAGGATAGTGAATTTAAATACATATATCGTTTGTTGTAACCCATTTTTTTTTGAAAATTGCAATTAAATTTCGTTTGAGGATTCGGGGCTGAGATGTATCTATAGGGGAGATTAGCCCTCAAACGTATCTTTCTCATAGTATTGCCCATTTTATAAGACAATGTACCAAATATTACCTTGTCCACGATAAACGAAATATTTTAAAATATTTCTTGCTTTTGCCCGTAAGTTTACAATTTTGCATAGAAAATATTGATTAATTTATTAGTATTACATTGGGTCAAGGGATAAATGGCAAATCAAAATCAATGTTTATATCTGCAACGATTTGATCGGTTTTGTATGATTATATCGAAAAATATCAGATCGGACCGCGATCGGTTAAAAAATTGCTGGATCTTCTCAGCACTAATTTAATTTTTAATAATTACATTCCTTCTCTTGAAAATTTTTCATAAAAACACAATATTTGCAATTTTATATGACCTTAAGAGAGTCGAGTTTATAAATTTTCGCCATTTTCAAGCCTTGACCATATTTTTTAAAAATCGGGTTTTCTGAGCTTTAGATCTGACAATGAGCATATGTATAGCTATATCTCTCATTCATCCTTCTTTACACCCACCCCCGTTCCTTTAAGTTTTTTGGCTATGGTCTTTCCCTCTCCTTTGACAGGTACGAAACGATAAACGAAATTATACAAATTTATTACAATTGGCTTTCGGTGCTCAAATCAGACACAAAATCCCCGAACGTGCCTCAATCAATCATACACGACCCTGATCTTTACGGCCAAAAGATATTGGACCAACTCTACAACGCCTTTTTGCCCCGGATCATCGATACGAGTATTTTAAATTTGATTCGAAAGTTTTATTTATCATTATGCCTCCTCCACCCTCTTATGATTTTTGGGGTTTTATTGAGGATTAGATATTAAATTTATACTTTCAAAACTAGTTAACTACTCTCCTAGTGGAGATTTTTTATAGTTTTGTTAAAATCATTTTATTTAAATATATTTAAAAAATCGCTTACAAAAATAAATAAATAATACAATATTAAATAAGGCACCGAAAATTTGGGATATCAAGCCATGGCCTGCATCCAAATTTTATTGATAATCAATAGTCTCACGGAAACGTCCGCGGATTCCATATTTAATTCTAGCTTTAAGGTTTTAACTCCCGAATTATGGGAACACGTACTTTTATGGTTGCTTCGTGTCAACGATACAATATTGAATATTAATCAAGATTCGATGAATCCTGGTATGAGTTTTATTTTTCATCTTCATTATTGTAAAAAAAATAAATATTAACGATAATGGGTAGCTAGTAGCAGCCCTAGTTAAGATAAGGCAGTTAGGTTGTCATAATACTTATGAAATGCTTTTGTTAATAAATTTTATTTTATGACAGAATACATAACGCTGGGTAATTTGGTAGGGAACCAAGCACTAAAAACCTTGTTCGACGTTTGGATACGATCGGGTTCCCACTATTTTCCGGCCCCCATATTTTGGAATACTCTTAAACAATTTTGCAAGACTTCTTGGAAATTTAGGTATCTACCTCTCATAGAGCAATGGAGCGTTTGCAACCTTTACTTGAGCCGACAACTCTTAAAATCTCAAACAGGTATATATAAATATGATTGCCACTTCTGATCTGTTTTTTTAAACTTTGGATCGGTTACAAGACAAATGTCAGATTTTTTCTAGAAATCCGTTCAAATCTTACGTCGGGGGGGGGGGGGGAGTTTAGCAGACTCAAACATCTTCTTGAATGGTTTGGTTGGTTAAGAAATTGCAAGAAAAATTAAGCAGTATTGTTTAATCACATAATTTCCCAACTTCAAAATGGCTTAGCCAAATGTTTAGGTCATCTCTAAGCTTGGAGACTTAACAAAAGAGTATATTAAGGAAAAAAGATTAAATAGATGAGTTGGGATCTGTGATGTTTCTAAAGAAGAAACTTGTATAAGTTTGGTGAGGACAATCATAGAATAAATTATATCTGATTTTTCATCTTCTTTTTCCTTCTCTTATTTATTATTGTTTGTAAACTAATTTCTTTTTTTTAAAAAAAAAATATTTCAAAAAAAAAGATTCTCAAACTTCATCTCCTATGGACTTCGACGTGCTAGCCCAATATTGGTTTAAGATGCTGAGAACGATAGGTTCTCCTCAACACATATGCTTTCATACTTGGCTCTATTATTGCCGACACCAACCTAGCAATAGTTCGACGAGTATGAGCGTAAAGGATTGGGCGAAAGATTTGCAATTACTTTTCCCTCATTTCCAGATCTCAAATTCCTTCTTAGCTTCCCATACCAAGAATGATAATAATAATTCCAACCTCAAAAAGGATTCTAATTACGATAATTTTAATAACGTCAGCGCGAGTAATTTAATGAGCAAAAGCAATAACCCACTGGAGCAGACATTCGTATGGAATCATTTGCATTTGTGTTCTCTCATATTTTTGCGGTTCTTGACCGGGATTTCTAAAATTGTAGACATATTTTTAGGTGAACAATTCGTTGTTTTTCTTCTGTAATTTGATTTTCTATTTCTCATGGTGTCAAATGACGTTATTAAAGAAAGGGAAGAAAGAAAGAAAGAAAGAAAGGAAAGAAAGAAAAAATAATCCATTAAAGTTTTCATATGTAAACTATTGAAAATTGATAACATTTTATATTATGTAACTACATTAAACTTACTTGGTGTTTTGTTTTGCTTGCCCGTGAGGAATTTTAAAAAAATCATTAAATTTTAATAACCCAACTTAGTATTCCAGATCTTTTCAACTCCTGAATCGGATTACTGATTTTTTTTTGTTAGACTTGAAGAGTCGCCATTAATTTCCATAGTTCGGAAATGAATCTATTTTGAGAATAATTAAATGATTAACCGGAAATTTAGGGAGAAGGAACAAAAAAATATAGGCTATGATATATATATACATCAAATACAATAGGTTGCGATCAAGAACCTATAACGAATTCAACCGGAACTAACATACACGCCTCCGCCACAGTTCCAATTCGTACTAAATCTCCAACACCTCCCGCTAAGAAAAAGAACGCGAATTTGGCAGCCAGCTCTAAAGGTTTTTTTTAAAATAATAATATATGTCTCCTTCGAGTCTCTTATAATTTTCATGAATTCAATTAGAGCTCTGTTCAAGTTCGGGTTGAAGCCCTGCCTGGCTCGGGCCGGTCAATTTTGGACCGAGCGAGGTTTAAGACAAAGCGATTAGTCAGTTTTCTAAAATTGTATTTAATTTTTTTTATCTGGCCAAAAAAAAATTAAATGTGCCCGGTTCTACTTTCAATAATTATTAGTTATGTTTAAAGAAATAAAGGGTATGGAATAATGTAATATCAATCATTTATTTAGATGCTTTACCCAAACAAATTTCTTCCAACCTATCATCCAACTCACCCAGCAACCAATCATCTAACCAATCCTCCAATAACCTCATTATCAATAACCCTTCTTCTCAATCGTATCAAAAAGATAAGTTGCACAATACTTCATCCACCGCTTCCAACTTTAATAGACCTCACACGAGCATGCCAAATCAGACCAATTTGAATCCCAAAGCTGATTTGTGTTACCAATTAAACACCGCTTCCCCGTTGGTGATATCTACGAAGCGCCACAACTATATTACTACAATACCCATAGGTCCCGATAACCAAAATCCGCAAACTGACCTTAATCATTATAGCGGAAAGGTAGGAAACGTTGCGGGAGATTTTGACGAGCCTATAGACCGAATAGAAAAGAACGGAGAAGACATAAGGGAGGAAATTAAGGACTCTAATACTCTATGTAGTCGGGATTCTTTGCTTAAAATATTCGGGGAGTGGTTATTTTCTTGCGCTTCACTTAATACCGGTTTAAATTACGATTGAATTATTTTTTTTTTTTAAATTTCATTCTTGGCATTCATGTTTCTCTATGGTGTAACCAGAATTTATCTAACGGGGGGTGTTACGAATATTTTTTGGGAGAAGGGGGACCTTTGGCTTCCCCATTTGCCTGACCGGTCTTTAGCTGGGTCTCGCCTATGGATTTTTATTTGGCGTTTTATAAATATCTTTATATAATCTTTATTAAAGATGGTTGAACAATTAGAAGCACTAATCCTAAAATCTATGCCAATATTTTATGCTTTATTAGTTTTAATTTTTATGAATGCTTTAATCTGTATAGGTAGCCAGTATAAAGAAAAAAATTATATTGGCAAACCTAACCATTAAAAAGCGATGGGAATATTAATTCTTCTGATAAATTTATTAATGTTTAATTGTATATTAAATTCGTTCTGTAAATAGTAAAACGTGAAGGAAAAGGGTTATAACAAAATAAGAAGAAAAATGAACTGCCATTGCCATCATGCTAGAATGGGATATATATATTTATAGAAGAACTAAAACTGGTTTGCGTTAAAATTTGCTGCATGATTAATATTTATTAATTCCATAATCGGATCTGGTAACCCCCCCCCCCCCCCCAAAGGAAGCCGAGTTATAATTTTTTAAAGAGAAACGTATTATTTGGCAAAATAAGAAAGAATTGTCAGGATTAACTTCATTCCAAAAAGTAAATTATGAAGCACCGAATATCAAAGTGCGATAAGATGCAATACCTGATTAGTACTTTACTTACTAATTCGTCAATCAATTTTTCCAGCCAATAAACAGAAAAAAAACTAGTTATAAGCAAAATAAAACAAAACTATAACGGCATGCTTTAGGCTGAGTCTTAAATGTTGGATTTTGAATCGCGATTACAATTTAACGATTTATATATGTTCTATTAGGTTTTTTTTAAAAAATAGATATAGAAGCTAAATAATTAAAATCTTAATATATTTATGAATCTAGTTTAATACCTCAATCAGTTTGGTCGACAGTATAAACAAAACAAAAAATTGTTAGTTAAATAAGACAATTTCTCTAATTGGTATTAAGATTTACATATATAAGCACAAAAGTATAATTATATCAAAAAATAAAATAAACAATATATGGAAAAACAAATTATTATCATAACTTTTTATCGTATTTTAAAATATGAGACTCGAGTTATAGCTTTATGGTTATAACTTTGATGGTTATAGCTGTGATACTTTAAAAATTTAGTAGCGGTAGCTTAAAAGCAGACTCGTGGCTTCTTTGGAAAATTTGATATCGGACTAAGATATATTGGTTTCGGTGAAATTGAAAACGATTACAAATAATCGATTTTATTAATCTCAAATTCTAAAAGGTTGAGCCGTTGTTTAGTAAATAAATAGTAATACTAAGGTACTTTTTTGGAAAATAAAAAAAAAGTCAGACGTCGATCACATACAAATTATAACTTCTTTAGGAGAGGTCCCATTTATATAAAAATTATTTTAATGGTTGGACGACACGTTTACAAAAAAGGTGTATTAAGAATATGGAAAGCAGATAAAAACAATTACGACCAATTATTTTAAAGGTCAAAATTGGTATTTGGCTTGTTAAATTATCAGCAATCTGAACCATGACACCTCTGCGGAATCATGTTATTGTAGATCCTAACTCTAGAGATAAATGAGTATCTGCCTAGTTGGCTTGAAGTGGGGTTTATGGAATTATTGTTATTTTTGCCTAGGCTATTCTTATCAAATAAAAATCTTCCATATATATTGAAATTTGAATGTTAAAAAAAAATGATATCTAAAACACTGGCCATTTACAAAACTAGTGAGATAAAAAGTGCATCGCCATGGAAAAATACAATGTCCTTTCTCTGGGACGGACTTCGCTGACATCATTTATTATAGCTCTTCCCAAACCTAGTGCATTTAAATAATCAATCAACAGCCATTTATTCAAATGTATTCAATAATATCATAATCCACTCAACCCACTTTCAAGCCAACTAGCCAGATACTTATTTATTTCTAGAATTAGGAACTGCATTAACAAAATTTCCCAGAGGTGTTAGAGCTGAGGTTACTGATCATTAACACTTTAAGATCAACAAATACTAATTTTTATCTTTTATTATAACTGATCTTAATTATTTTTATTCATCTTCCGTATTTTTTTAAAATATACCTTCAAAATAATGTTGTAAACTTATCCAATCATAATAAGACAATCTTCATCATCATAATAATTATTAATGATGAAAGATATCCATGAATGATAAATATTAAAATATATTAAAAAGTCAAACTAATCACAAAAAAAATTCAAATGAAAATAAATATTAACATATTAAAATTCTTTTGGTCAAAATATCCCTCAGGTTCTTATTTATTTGATTCAACCTCTCCTTCCAATTCTCAATAGTTAAATTTCAATGAGAATGAGGTCTTCTTTGCAATAAATTCCTTAGAAAAAGATTCATACGCTCAATCTCTTTCCAAAATCTTATCAATCCATCCCATTCAGTAAAACATTATTAACCGATCTGACAACATTCTTAAACAAAGTGAAATCCCCTCGCGCGATTCATTACCTTATACAAAAAAGATGGCGAGGCTCGCCCGATAGCTATAGGGTTTATTTTTCACAGAATAACTGCTAGAATAGTAAGTAATAGAAGTTACATTTTGGAGCAAAAAATGGATGCGATGTAGCAACTCACATCGCCCGCATATAGTGTACACAAATGGAGACTTTGCGCTTTGGCTTACTTTTAAATTGACGTTACCTTTTTTTAAAAATATTAATATCGTAGATTCAAAGTTATAACTAAGTCCTCATTTACAGTAAACGCGATTTGTGCAAACGATGCGGTATTGAATGCTGCGTTATTTATAAAATCAGGCCACTGAATAGGCAATATGGAGCGAAACGGCGAAAAAAATTGAAATAGATATGTTGGGACGTATTATAAAAGTTATTATCGATCTCAAGAATCAGCTGTGATTTACATAGCTTTAAATACCGCACTGTTTGAACAAATCACGCGTTATGTTCAAGCGGTGCGTTATATACAAAATCAAGCCGATAAATAATTATAATTTAAAAATATGGAGCTCTTTGGATGATAACGCTGTCATAAAATTTGGAAAAGATATGTTTGCTATACGATTATAAAAATAATATCTAAATTGTATTATAAGTATTTATTAAAAAAAATTTAAAAAGTAGAAAATCATTTTTTATAAAATATTCAGTATAAAGCATATGAAGAATCAGCATTGATTTCGATATCGATAGCGTTAATTAAGGCAAGGCTTGAACATTAACGCATTTACTATAGCGTAAGTTGCGAAAAAATAATTGGTTTTTTTGAATTATGTCTGTAGTTTTATTTTATTAATTTCTAAAATATTCCATTTTAAGATAAAATTTTTTGTTTAATCATTTAATAAAATATTAAATTTAATTTACATATAATTAAAACAACTAGGAAGGGATTTTTGTTCACCCCCACCCCCCCCCCCCCCTTCTTAATAGTCTTACCCGTAGGTTTTGTCGACTTTCTTGCGAAGAAAACCCAATATATTAAAGAACGGGTAAAAATGCATGAATAAATTAGGATGAAAAAGCTAACTAGAATCATTTAAATGCTTTCTAACGCCAAGCGATAATTTGATCAATTTGCAAGATACCATTTCTAATTCGTTATTTGCGTTTGAAACATTCAAGTGTCACTTATAAATATAAAAGATATATTTAGAAAATCCTGGAGGAAAGTATTCTCTTATTTGAAACTTTTGATCATAAACTTTTTTTTTCCATTTGTCTTTTTTTTTCTATCGTAAAGATTTTTATTTTTTAAAAAAAAGGTATCTTGCCTTTCAGTTCCGAAATATTTTTTCAATACGGAAAAGCTGAAGCCTGCGGCACTCTTTGCAGAATCATATGCCAACGCACGACAGATGAACCCGTTTCACCGCTATACCTCTACAACTTTTACAACCTGGTAAATGATAGGAATTGAATAAAATATATATATGAGCATGCGTGAAACGTCTCAGGTCTTTATCAAGTTTATAACCATGCTCTATTGCCCTGAGTTTTTAGCGAATTTTTATTTATATTGAAAGTTTTTGCCGCAATTTTATTTCAACCCATTATAGTACCCTTACCCTGGGAATTTAAAAACAATTTTTTTGGCGGCGTCTGGAAAACAGCAGGTCTTTACGAAAATTAGAAAATAAAATTTTCGCAAGCACTTATAACCAGAGATCCAAACCGAAGCGAATATCGGTTCCTGTTCAGATATAAAATAAGGTTCCAGTTCGGATAGAAAATGATTTATCGGTTTAGGTTCGATAAAAAATGGCGGTTGGATCACGGCTTATATACATTATATAAATAAATTATATAAGTAATTTAAGTGACCATAACCATACGCAAAAATAAATTTAAAAAAAAAATGTATATAGATCCATTTCGTTATCGACAAACATGCCATTTCCGGTAATATTGATCAGAGTACCCATCATAATGCAAATATGACGAGCGTCGAAAATTTGGATATAACTCAAGCGTGCGTCCTTATAAATAGCCCCGATTTATTCAGGATTGACCTGGAAGGGGTTTCCGTGTTATTGAGGGATTATTTGATCCTAATCGATTCCACTATCCTTAATTGCAATTATAATAATATTCAATTGACCAACTCTTCCGGTCAGATGGGAAATCGGAGTTCTATCGGGTCGAATAGCGCGATAATCAAGTTATATATTTTTTCTTTACGAAAAATAAAATCAATCAATATTTCATGAAAATCGATACGAAAAGATCGTACCCTGACTTGATCAACATTTTTATCGATTTGATATCGAGAATTTGTTTCTTCGAAAATAGAATTCGATGTTTTAAGGGACCCGGAACTAAAAGGGGGGTTGGTTCTTCCGGTTTCTATATACTCTTTCCGGTTTCCTTTTTTAAAAAAATATCCCAGTTTTTGGATTCGACCAGGTTTCCATGTTTTGATTTGAAATGTCTTCAAATACAAATCTAAACACAAAAATAAACGTTCTCAAAGAAAGATAATGAATCATAAATGATTATTTTTTTGAATAAATCTGTACACACCACTTGTTATCAGATGCGGTTCGGGTTACTATAAGAGAAAGGGGTTTTCCTGGATAATTTTATGCATCCTTAAATAAATGTGTCCATCTTTTTTTTCGTAAGCATATTACACCTTTGAATTTGAATGATTGATTAGCCTAGCTTAACAAATTCGACGAATTACAAATGTTAGAAATATGGTATATGAAAAACAAGGGAAATGATGCGATTTCGTGATTCTTTTAATTATTGTGTCGCTATATTTAAAAAAATAGTAATTCCATCATGAGAGAATGCAGGGAGTTTGGCGAAACACAAGCTGACAAAACGGGCTCACCTAACCCCAAAAAATATGATAATCATCACTAGGATCATTATTTTATATATTTTGTCAGCCCATATTTTATTATATTTCCTATTTATCTTATCACTAATGTTCGTAATGTAACCTCTGGCTGCATCTTTTGACAAAATTTAACTGTTAAATAATACGAATAATAAAAGGATAATTTTAGCCCCCCCCCCCCCCCCTGTAAGATTGATTTTTGGGAATGTAAATGAAGATATAAATTTTGTGATAAGTAATATTGTTTAAAATGTTAGAATTCGCCTTCGCAATTTTATCTATGAACATTTTTTTTTAAAGCACTTTTATCTAACTTCTTATATTGTTTATAAATTAAATTATGGCATAATGTTAATATAATCTAATGAATAGCTTCTGTTTATATTACTGTAAATAAAAAAGATATTTTTGAAAATGAAATATTTTGTATAATTAAATATAAATATAATGAGATCTGCGAAGCCCGGACTATAAATAATTTTTATAGCCAATCATTTATAATATAATTTTGTTATTTTAAATTTTTACAAATTTTAATTTTAAAAGACATTTAAAAATGAAAATTCTTAATAAAGAAATAATTACAATGAAAAAAAAATATACTGAAAAAAGGGTGTATTTAAGAGAAAATAAATTTAAACATAATTGCTAGAGTATGTAAATAAGTAATATTTCCATCATTTGAATATTACCTTAGCCTTTGCAGTTTGCGGCATTTATAATTTATTCAAATATTAATTATAATACAAGTCTAGCAATTTAATAGTGTTGTGCTAATAGATGTCCAAACCTTTGTTCCTTCTATAAAAAAAATCTTCAAGCTTGCGTAATATTTTTCTGGATGAAATATTGAGTTAGCCGTTTTTAAAAATCGGCTCAAAACGATACTTTTAACAAACACTAAATTTAAGTCATAATATGTTTCAATTAATTCTTAGAATGAGTTGAATTTTAAATAACATTTTTTTTTAGATATTAATATTAATATTTAAGATAATTTATAAAAAAAAATATTACAAAACAAAAAAAATCGGGAAATTTTTTTTCCGTAATAAAAGACGCCATTTTGCGCAAAAAAATTTATCAATTTTTTATAACCTTATTCTAATTATTTTAAAATATAATTTAATTAAATGATATGAACGTAAACTATATATGTACCTTCAATAAGAATAAATATATATGTTGCTGTTGAGGTATTTATTATACTCGGACAAAATGTACGACATAAAATTTACATGTCGAAATATCAAAAAAAATAAGTAACCTTTGTTATATCTTAATTTTTTTCCTGAAAGATCAATACTTATAAAATATTATATAAGCTTATAAAATACGTGATAGATATTTAGTATTTTTTTATCAATATTTGAATCATAAATAAGCATTGTCAATTTTGAATAAACTCTTTTTTATTTTATTTTAGAAAATGAATTTCAATTTTAAGTTTTTTAAAAAAAAGCTTCTTTCGTTATTTCAAATAAATTACTGATATTTGTTGAGTTTTAATATAACAGAACAGTCTTACATGTAAATCTCATCATTCCTTTCAAACAAAAATTTCGATTTAATAACACAGGCAGAAATTAAAGAGACAAACAAATACAAAAATTTTTAAAATTCATATTCACTCCAGTAGTGGACCTCTACGAACGGGCTTTTTTCGCCATCAACATTTATGTTTTTAAAAAATATGGGTAATAAAATACGACATTTCACAAACGAACCCAGAAAATTTCTTTTTATTCGACAAAAAAATTCAAATAGAAATTTTTGACGCAATTATGGTTCCCTTTTTGGGGACTCAATTATAGAATTTTATTTTTAATTATATAATTATATAATTATAAATTTAGAAATTTTTTTTTTTAACTAAGTTTTATGTAAAAAAAGAAATTTAAAATTAAATTAGATTAGATTATAAATTTTTTTTTTATGTATTGTAAGTAGAACCTATGTTTTTTTGATATTACCCACTTGTACGTAATTTATAGTGTGAGGTAGTGTTGTTAAACTGCTCGATTTGAGCACATTTTTAAAAATGGCTAACTCAATATTTTATCTAGAATAATATTATGCAAGCCTGAAGATTTTGCTCATAGATAGCATAAAGGTCTAGACATCGATTAGTGAAATCTCAAGGCTTTTCTGGATTTGAATTAGCCGTTTAACACTAGTGCGAGGAGTAAGAGAATCAGGGGGTATCTTGGCCTTTAATAACTCATACCCTTCAATTTTTTAACGCGATTAATAATTTTTTTTTTTTAAAAATTGCAAGAATAACGAAATAAAGTTTTTAAAATAAAATGGTTGAAATCAAATGATAACAACCCAAAAAAAATGTATGCAACAAAAACGACAATAATTATCATAATATATTTTCGGTTATATATATACCATACTCCTATCTTTACTAATGGAGATTGACTGATCGTATTTGTCATCACGTGGATTATTTAGGCCCGCCTCAAATATCGAAATAAACGCTGAATAATATTCCGCTACAGCCATGAATTTATTAAACATATGTTTTATGTTTGGATTAAATTGGCATCATGACGTTTACTTCTGCTAAAGCCAGGCCTTAAGTTTGTATTCATTTATTTTTTTTAAAAAACTTTAAAATAAACAGTTATCAATACATATCGGAAACCACGATTTCCTCTTTCGCCCTCAGAAACTCCGCTATTAACATCCTTTCCAGCGTAGTTTGCTTAGCTACCCACAACCCTAACCTGACAATCGAAGGTTTCACTTTCGAACCAGCCAAAAGGAACGGCTCGGAGAATCTCGATTCATCGCTTATCGACAGGCGGATAACTTTTGCCACCTTAAGAAAACCGGTGCTTGATTTATTGTTCGGTGCGATGGAAAACGAGATTTACTCTTCTAACGTTCAAATGTTATTGGGTTTGTATTTAACATAATTTTGTCAGAACATTTTTTTGGAACAAGATTTTTGATCAAATTTTACCCTAAAATTTCCGATTTTCCTTTGTAAAAGTCCAAAATATCAAAAAATACCATTCGCAAAATTTTGAAATTTTACAGAAAAAACAAATGTATAAGCTTTTTTTTGATATAAAAATAAAAACATGTCCAAAATATAATTCTAAAAAATTTCCAAAAATTTAACATGCGATTTCATTAAAATTTTAAAACTTTTAGAATTTTTTTAAAAAAATAAGTAAATTTTTTTATGATTTTTATGCATAAAAAGTCTTTTAAAATCATCAAATCACAAGTTATTTTTTGATCTTTGGAAAAATATCCTTAAAGATTTTTTGGGTAAAAGATTTTTTTTTTTCGAGCTTTTATAATAAATATTTTTTTATTTTTATTTTTATTTTGATTTATAAATAAATAATAATTGAAGAAATAGATTAGAAGCAAGAAAAAAAATTATACATGAAAAGGAGAAATAAATGAATTGATTTTAATCAATAAAATTGCTTAAGTTTCGGATAAATTTATGGATGCTCTATTATAAAAACGTTTATTTTTTAAAAAAATAATTGCTAAAATAATAAAAATATTTATTAATGATAAAAAAAATTGAGGTATAAATGATAAAATATTATATAAAATAAAAAAGATGGATTTAAATAATGATTTTAAGTCGTGTTTTGAACCCCAATTGAAAGGAATAGCAAAAAAAAATGCAAATGCTAAAAATATAGTGTAACAAAATAATATAACCTACTATTTTAATATAACTTTCTTAATGATTAAAATATTAAATTTGACTAGGGTTGATGTCTCTAATCCTTCTAGATTTCGCCTTGTATCAAGGAGAAGTAAATGCTTTATTCGATGCAGAGGAACGAATGCAAACTAAATCCACATCCAGTTCAATCGGTTTTATAGAATTTTTCTTTTTTTATAATATCATTTTATCTTCTAATCATTGGCGTTGCGTAAGGCGAAGTCCTAAAGTACACATTCTCCTTAAATTCTCACCGAAGGCGGCATTTATAGTAAACGCGATTCCGTCAAGTTTTTTTAAAAATAAAATCCTCCAATTTGAAATAAGATCGATTTTATTAATAATTAAGTATTCGCTCTAAGTAATAGGAGTTATCGACGCCATTGCGACTAATTATGATATTCAATAAATGGTTAGTAGATGGTTATGGAACGAATATTGGATGCGGGATGCATCAAATCAATAAGTTATAATATACTTGTTACATTACGCAATAAATATTCATGTTATATATTTATTATATTATATATTTTTTTTTCAAAACTGAATTTTAATTATATCGTGAGGGCAGTGCATCATTACAATCTCAGGTCCTCGATACCTTCGTCGCTTTATCCGTCGCAACCAACAAGGAGTCACGATCCACACGCGCAAAACCTACAGGATGACGTTGGGGAAGACATTTCTAGTTTTTGAAGAAAAATCATACTTTTACACGTGTCGAAATATAATCAGTAGTTTGTTACTAAAATGTTATTAAGGTTTCTCAATACCCTCCCCCCCCCCTATTTCCCATTTACGGTGCTTGATTTGAATTAAGAACCTTTTTGTGTAGTCAGGAATACGTATCGCGGACATTATTGGGATATGGAATCCACTGGGGATTCGTCGATTTAAAATTACTTACTGAGAGCTATTTTTAAATTTTAAAAAATTCGATTTCATAAGAAATGTAATTTCAGAAACCTAGCTATTAACAATTTGAGCGAATTGGCGGCTAAGTTTCTAAAAAATGAATGTAGAATATATCTTCGTCGCGAATTTGCGCTAATATTGAATGCGGGGTAAAGTAACTACCCTATAAATTTCTGATAGCTTTGGCTATTAAAACAGTTGTCTAATTTTTAATTTACCTAAAAATGTTTTTTAAAGAGATTCTATATAGTGTTGTTGTTAAACGGCTCGATTTATTTTTTAAAAAACGGCGAACTCAATATTTTAGCCTTAAATTGACTAAGCCTCGAGATTTGACTGATAGATGTCCAAATTTTTGTGCTCATATATGGGCAAAATCTTCGGACCTTCTTAACGTTTTTCTGGATAAAATATCGAGTTTGCCGTTAAAAAGAAACGGCTTAGAAATCAAGCTATATAAACAACACTAATTACACATTTACAGCATTTTTTTTACATACATGACAATTGAAAATCTATGAGCTCATTTCATAAAAATAGCATAGTTTGTTACACTGATAACCATAAAATTAAATCGCTCTTTTCAAACTTTGTCATCACAATTTTTTAATACACTTTTTCCAATTCTATGTTAACTCTATAAACAATTTGATTAAGGTGTAAGGGTGCCTTACATATATAAGAAAATAATAATTATATTAATTGAATTATTCTAAACAATTTTTTTTTTAAACTATTGGCTCAATTTTTCTATTTTCCTATACTTTTCATTCAAATAACATTATTACCAGATTTTTCTAAACCATTTAACTTTGGTATACACGGAAGCTAGACTAAAATAAAATGACTTAGACAGCTGAGATTTAAGCGATTTAATAATCATTAATTATCACGTGTTTCAGATCACGGGTCCCTTAATGAACCTAACGACAAAATGACGCAAGAATCAGATTCCCAAAAAGTTGAAAGTCTGAATCATTATTACTGGTGCTTCGATTGCCTCTTCGAAACTATAATGGGAAGCGTTCTCAAGACTTTCGATAAATGGTGGATAGAAAAGGAAGATTTTAACGTGGCGCTGAGTTGTCTTGCCACCCTTTCCCAAATGGCTAAAATCAAGATTTTGATCTACAAACGTAAAATTTAACCTTTTAATCTCTTCTTTTATTCCCTAAATTCGAGATTAGTTTTAAACACGTGTCAATCAAAAGAGTTGACCTATTTGACACCGCTCGAATGATTAAAGAGTCCGCGGCGGCTATTTTCGTATGATTGATCTATTGGATCAAATCGAGATCTTGATTTGAATAATACCTTTTTGAATGAGTAGTAGGAAAATATTATTCAAGTCGGTAAGATTTTTTAAATAAAACGAACCACGATGAATGTGATCTAAATATCATTATTTACATAAATTAAAAGCGCTATGCGAAACCATTATAAAAACTCTCTGTAACCACGTGGTGAGAATGTGTAGTCAGCTTCCACCCACCAAGCATACCAAGGACTTGCATACGTTGATTGTTTTTGCTTACTCTTGCTTGAGCATGTGGCTAACCTACCACCCATCGCTACTAGACGATCAAAGCTTGCTGTATTTACTCTTGGAAATATCCGAAATTGGAATGACCGGGCATATCTCTAGGGTATTCTTTTAAAATGATATGTTTTGGAGTTTTTGTAACCCGCAAAAAATTGATAATTAATATTTCTTTTGTACACAAACTTATATTATTATTAAATAGAGTCTCGTTTGGTAGGTTAAAAATTTAATATTCACGTTATATTTTTTTATAATGAAAGCTCTGTCCGATTATTATGATAAATTTTAAAGAAAAATTCTTATATATTTTTAAAAGGAGACGAAAGATAAAACAGTGATATACAAGGAACAAAGGGAATGCCGACCAGTATCCAAGAGGGTGGCGAATGCTTCCGAAAATCTGTTGGCGCTTATACTCACCTTAAACGTTATAATTCATGAACACATTTTTAATTGCGTCATCCTAGTCGAACGCTATTGGTTGGATTAAGGCTAGAAAAATGCGAAAAACAGAAATCTTTAGTTTTATGAATTTTTTAAAAATCATTAGCGAAACCTCGAATTTAAACCAGTTTTTTCATTAACTAGAAAAAAAATATGAGTACACCAAAATTTGAATCGATATGAAATTGATTTGTTGATTTCTTTTTCATAAATATATTTTCCGAATAGATCAAGATCAATAAATCGAAGATTAATTATATAAAATTGACGTGTATAAAATATAATGTTATTCACATCACCTTCCTCCTAAAATTGCTCGGGCACCTCTTCCCGAATCTGCCGATGCCAACTCCAGTGTCCCCATATCTTAGTGAATATTAATTTTTCTATCACTCCCGTTACCTACTTTATTTATCATTGCACGCGTATTGTCAATATAGGGAATGGGCTAGTGATTAAACGAGACTTGTTTTGTTACCCACTCACAGTAGCTTAGTTCAGTGTTTCCTATTTCGTTCGCAACATCATAATTGCGGGAGGAACTAGTGAAGCCCCTACGGATGTTAGTCTGTTTCATATGATGCCTACCGTGATAATTTTTGAGTCGGCTAATTACTAACATCGTGGCCCTTTGCGTGATACATGAGATTTTCAATATTTTATAATTATCAAATGTCTAACTAAATACATTTATAATTAACTCTGTCTGAATGGTTTTCATTTCCTTTCTACCTATTTTGCAATGCAACTATCAGTATTATGATTTTAATTGTACCGCGAAGTCCTTTTACCAACTCGCTGATATGGTCGTGGCTTGTACCAAATGAGGTTGAATTTTCTAAAGGATAATCTGCCCATATAGTAAATGATGTGTACCTGCCGTATAATTTTTAGATTTCACGATCAATACTGGGCCACCATATGTTTTAACTTCTTTTCTTGGTATCCGCTATCCGATTTGTTTTATGCTTTCACATTACTTCTGTGGAAGGATTATTCTTTTCCCCCTGTAAAAGCATTCATTCCACCCTTTTCCTCGTAGATCTCGCTTTTTACACATCTGGTACTGTCTCACTTTCAATATCTTATAATTTTTTAGTTCAATTTGTAATCTTACTGAAAATGTCAATCAACCCTGCTTAAATGGTCAATTTACCGTTTTTTTATCTATTTAGATAGGTGCTAAAATGTGTTAGAATGCTATTGAAAATTAGCTAGCTCTAATCTGTTTAATTTTAAACATTCGAAGCGGATTCGCAAAGAAAAATCGGTTCTAATGTTATTTAAATATAGAATTAATTTATGAATAATCATTTCAAATAAATGCAAAATATATTTTTTGAAAAAAAAACAAACAAACAATACAGAAAACTATATCCGGTAAAACAGAATTAGACGATTTCACATTGAAACGCGAAATAGAATTGTTGACTTACGTTTATAATAATAATAATCCTAAATACAGACCTCAGTATTTTTCTCTAGGGTTTAATTTGATATTCGGGTTTTTTTGCGACCACAGATTGCCCACGAATTATGAAGCCACGGGTTATATTAATAATCTATCAAATAATTATTTTATATAATAGAATAGAATAGAATATATTATTTTAAATGATAAGAAATTGGATATCGAATCTAAACGTTTAACAATGGAAAATGCTAAATTTTTTTAAGATTCATTTATGATTATAATTTAAAGAAAACACTATTTTTACTGGAGAAACTATAAAACTTTTACCGGATTACAAACAGAGAACGTATAAAATGTAGAATTCTTGATACCAACGCGGAAAGCGCGAAAATCTTATTAATTTTGGTTTATACTATAAAAAAATATAATAAAATATTCAGAAAGCGTGAATAATCAATGCATTCTCGTGATTCACAATAGTTTTGGAAGGCAGGCTTGGAAGTTGAATTACGCGAAATCCTTAAATGGCACTTCTCCGCGCAAACAGGTTTTTCATATGCGATATTCAAAAGTTTACACTATTTTTTTGGAAATTTTATCTTGAGGAAAATTTGGGGTTGGTGTCGAAGTTTAGACATTTCTTAATAAAAACTCATACGACAGGCCGAATAGTAATATCACATTCCTTTCTCGTTTTAATGATATACCTGATAAACTATTTGCAACCTATTTTTATTATTATTAACGAGTGACAATCTAAAGGAAAGAAAGAAGGTATTATTTTAATTTCTAATACAATAATTTGTTTAACTATTATATTTGCTAAGAAATATTGCTGAATCACTTAAGAAGCATTTTTATTTACTACATATGTTTTATACAATAAAAAGTCTCAAAATTTCAACCTAACAACCGACCCCATCCCACATAAATTAAACTCTTCCGACTCCAACTCGCATCTCGCGGAAACGCTAAAGGCGCACAATTTTGGCGAGAAGCCGTTTTACCTCTACCGAACGATCAAACCAGAATTTTTGGATAAAATGATTTCGCAAGATATCCAATCTTATTTACCGCCTCATTTATGCGTTCCCGCCGATGATGGACTTCTTTCGTCCATGGATAGCATCAGTGTGAGTAGCCATTATGATAGTGTCTATAACGAGAAAGACGTGAGTTCTAACGATTTTGATGATTTCGAAAAATCGTTCAAGCAACACATGTCCGAATATCACGGATTAGGGAAAATCCTACCAGGTTTCTCTTTGTCTTTAATATAATCATTTATTATATATGTCGTAGCTTCACAAAAAATCCTTCAAAGATTAAAAAAAAATGAAGATTTTTTTGATCAAATTTTACTCAAAATTCCCCCAAAAAACATTTTGCAAAAAAATCATATGTGATTTTTATGTATGATAATAAATATTTTATGATAATTTTAAAAAAAAATTCTAAGAAAATATTCAAGCCATTAACACTTTTCCTCAAAAGAATCATCTATCACCATTCGACGTATTTAAAACTTTGAATCCAGAAAATCTCGCTTATTATCCACCCAAGTAAAGTATTTTTCTAAAAAATTAATTTTAGTTTAGAGGAAGGAAGGAAGGAAGGAAGGAAGGAAGGAAGGAAGGAAGGAAGGAAGGAAGGAAGGAAGGAAGGAAAGAAAAGGAAGGAAAGGAAGAAAGATTACTATATTATAAAATGTTTATTTTATACCCACACAGGAATATTCAAGAGATCAATTTACCCCGATTATACCTTTCCCAGCTGGGATTCTTGAATATGGATAACATAACAAAAGTAATATAAAAAAAGAGAGCATATCACATATTTTTTTGCCTTTTAAATGATGAACCTTAAAAAAGCATTTTAAAATTTATAATCGTATGAAAGGGAAGAAAGAAAGAAAAACTACTCTTAATGTATGGATAATTTAATTAATTAAGCTATTTTGATATGTTATCCTTGTCAATCAATTTATAGTATAATCAAAATAGATGCTAATACTTTATCCTACCAGCGTTGTTAAGATATACTTTTCAGATGTATCTAGATACCGTTAAAATTTTTCTAAGATGCAAATTATTTTATTTATAATCATTGTAAGATGGTGGCGGATAATATCTTGAAAATCTATTTAAAAAAAACTGATTGTAAAGTGAACCGAATATTTGTATTTAACTTTGATTATTTAAAAAAATATATAATTAAAATGATTATAAAAATATTATCATTAAACCTTTATCAATAAAAAATTCTCAAAGTTTTAATCACCCGTTTATCCGTAACACACATTTTTACTCCTCACGCTAAAAAGTCTTTCAAGCTGGTAATGCTGGAAGGTAACGTAGTGTTATACTTAATGAATAACACCTTTATATTAGGAATAATCTCTGAATATAGCAAAATCATGATTACGACATCCATTTAAAAAAAAATAATGATTCAAAGTTTTGTATCCATAATCCTCTTGAGGGTTATTTAAAAAAAAATCAGTGATTCTCTTCGCTCTTTAGCATCATTTAGAAACTTTGAAAGTTCATCGACTAAATTTTTTTGGCATTATATCCAATTTATGTCAAATTTGATGATACTGGTGTTGATAGTTTCTTCTACATCCGGTATCACTAATATTAATCATCTAAAAATGTACTTTGAACGTCATCTATTATGTAAAATAAAATTTATCTTGAATTGGAAAGAAATAAACTCGGACAAGATATTTAATAAATTCAAGTACAAAATTAAAATTGTATAAAAATATAATGTATTAGATATTGCTAAAAATGTATCTAGACATTTTTGTATCTATATACTTTAACAACTCTGCTACCTACACACCATATAATTTAGAATTTCGATCAATACAACAAAGACACATTTCCCGCATCCTTTCCCCAACAGTTATACCACCTTAACGTGGAAAATTCGAAGGAGACATTGCACCATTTCACTCAATCATTGCTAAATCTCAATTCCATTGAATCTAAGCCCAAAGAAATTGTTTTCGTTTGCTACGAAACTGGTAATGGTTATGACAAAGACCGAGATATTTGTGAATTGTTTAATCAAGAAAAGGTAAATTTATTACATTATAAACCCCCAATGGGTTTTTGGAAAGTTTTTATACATGTAATGGATCGATATATCGGATCAATTCAGTATCTGAAACCCAAATAAAACTTAACCTTAATTTTTAATCAAATCTTTGTTTGCTGCAAGAAACCATTTATATTTTCTTTAATTGTAAATGAGTCCATATCGATCCTATAGATGTATATGGAAATATTCAACCTTGCCATGGTTGGAGGCAAATGCAATAAATTTCTCAAAAGTTTTTAAAATTAAGTAATAGTTATGTTTATCAAGAATGATTTTATAATATGGACCATTTTATTTAATATTTAGCAATACAAAGATAACCTAAAGTACGAAAAGTTTCAAAAATTTTTGTCGACCTTGGGTGCTAATAATATTTCGGGTATTGTAATATTTATACAAATTTTATACAGAATTCTAATTTTAAAAATATGAAATGAATATAAGCGAGTAAAAAAAAACATTTTTTTAATGTATAATTTTTTTAGAGGAATCATTGGTCATCAATTCTGATTCATATTGGAAGATCATCTTCGTTAAGAAGTTGGACAATCATTTAAAAGCCACGAAAGAAGAACCTAACTCGAAAGGTAGTTATAAAAGTTTTTATTTAAATTTGTTTATTTTTTGAAAAAAACGAACCACCAAATACTTGTAAATTTTTTATTATGTTAATTAAGGGTCGAAGCCAAAATATTTCGCTTGTTCCAAGAAAGGGGAAGGAGGCACATCTTTTTAAAATTGTATATTTCAGTCATATTCTTTCAGTTACCATTTTCTCTTGCGCTAATAATACTTAGGATTTTATTTTTTAAATGGGGTTCGTGGATTAGCAACTTAGAATATGAATTAGGTATCAATTTATCGAAGTAAAATATAAATAATTTGTTTGTAGTAGTTGAATTTGGCAATTATATAAGCATGATTTATATAATATTTAAACCTTTTTTTTAAAAAAAATAAAATAAATATCCGCACACTTTAAAAAGTGAAGAAAAAATAAACAAATTTCAAAATTTTCTGTGAGTGGGTTGAACCCCCAAAATGCTCCTCACCCGTAGTTATGATCCTCTGTTTATTTATTTAGGAGAGGGGAGGGGGAGTGTGTTATACTATGTAAATATAACGAATCTAATAAGTAAGGATAGACCAATTTTTTTAAAGTATCTTGAATACAGATACGAGTTACTTTTTTAAAATAAAAATGATACAAAAGTAGTGTTGTTAAACTGCTTGATTTAATCGATTTTATAATATCGCGCAAGCCTCTAGATTTCGTTAATAGATGTCGGAACCTTTCTGCTATCTATGAGCAAAATCTCCAGTCATGGGTAATATTTTTTGGCTAAAATATTGGGTTAACCATTTTAAAAAATGGAAAAAGTATTTTGTACTTAAAATGCAGGTATTTGCGATACCTCAACCTTGCTAATGAATAGTAATATATACCATTCAATCAATTTTTTTTTATTGTATCAATCGCCTATAATTCTTCTTAGATTGACGATCCATTTATTCATGCATTTAAATGTCAATCAATACATGTCAGCTGGTGACACGCCATATCGGTTTCTCTGTTAAATGATGTTTGTATAAGAAACCAAAAATGGCCTGCCCAGATGATTTGTATTTAAGGACTTTTTAAAATACATTTTTTTATGAAGGAATAGTCAGTCTAGATAAGTATTATAAGGACATTTATTTTGTGTAGTATATTTCATAGAATTATTACTTTATTATCCACTAGCTAAACATTCGGCAAAATGTATCCTATCCACCTATGCACGTTTGTCAACCGTTCACCCCCTCTACAATAATGACGCCGAACAAAGAGTACAAGATTTATGCAATAATAAAACGAGTCCTCCTTATTCTTTTGTAAGCAAAAAATATTTAATACACCCTCCCCCTTCCTCCATCTTTTTTTTCAAAGATATGTTTGTGCTTAGCACGAATCATTCGCATAAGTAACATATTTTTTCCCTCTCCTGGAACCGTAAGAAGCCCCCGTGAGCTGAATATACTCCAGTTTTGTTCCTAATTATTTGTGTTTTAAATGGTAATTTTAAAAATTATTATGTTTTATCAATTTTCTTCCTACCTAGTTCCTTACGAAAGAAAAAAATAGAAAGAAAGTATAATTAAACATTTTAAAATTTTTAAAAAAAACACTCAATTTACGAAAGATTATGGATGATGAAAAATTTCTAATAAAATTTTTTAATAGACACCTAAATAAAAAAAATAGCTCTAACCAATAATCATTTTGGTTTTTATAAATTTATACATTTAACGCCCTCTTATGGATATATATTTGTTAAATTTTAAAATTGAAAAAAAATTTGAGTTGTTATAAATAGGGCTGTGGCCGATATCAGATATCGGATCGGCTTCGATATTTAGCGCTTTAAAAATTTCGGATCTGGCCGATACCTGTAAATAATTTACCCGATCTTTTTACTTTTCATTTTTTTTGTCATTATATGTTATGTATAAATTTATTTTACATTATTATAATTTTGTTAATATATTATATATTATGTTGTATAAAGATACAAATTCAAAAAAAAAGTAATTTTATGTATATTTATTATACATTATTATAATATTTTCTAAATAATTTTTATTTACAATAAACAATGCAAATGCACAACACCCCCTATATTTTACTTATTTTATAAAATAGATTTATATTATTTTTAAAAAAAATTGAAAGGAACACCCAAACTTTTATTTATTTTAAATCTTTTAAAATGTGGTAACGGAATTATGGAAATATTTTAGAAAAGATAATTTTGCAAAATGCGTTATCTATGGAATTCTAATTTCACGGGGAGGAATAATGAAAAATTCATTTAATACTATCAATCGGGATTCGAAGAGCTAACTAATACAAAAAGAACGCAAAATATTGGAAAAATCAATTTTTTTAAATTATAGTCTTGATTGTAGAAATAAAAAAAAATTAAATTAAGTGCATAATTCGAATTTTTGCATAAAAAATATTGATTTCTTAATTACTTTTGGTTTCAAAGGGGGGTGATGGTGAAAAATCAGTATAAATATCGGATCGGGTCAGTGAAAAATATGTGGATCGGCAGAGCCCTAGTAATAAGCTATAATATTTTTTTTCCCCCCATTAATAATAAGTAATAATAGAATTATAAATTATTTGATATTTAATCTCAATTCTTTATTTAATTAAAAATTGATCTGTGTATATTTTAAAAAAAAAATGCTTCTGAAAATTATATTTAAAAAAAGATTATATAATAAAATTGATTAATTCCTTTCTAGCAATGCAGTAATTTAGTCATACCGGATTATATTTAAAGATTATTGTTGACATCAAAAAAATTTTAAATATTGATAGGATTCCCCCTTCCCCCTTTCCTTTTTTTCTTTTCCTTCCTTCCATCCTTCCTTTCATCATTCCTTCTTTCCTTTCTTTGAAAATCATTTCCAAAATAAAGTGTACATGGAAAAATTATTTAGAATGGCCAAAAATTAAAAACACTTGGAAGGTCGTTAAAATTATGGTAATTTTAAAAATTCGGGAAATGTTGGTAAAATTGTCATTATAATTTCAAGATTCAGGATGGACCTTATTTTTTTTTTTTATTAAGAAATATATATATATTTTTTTTAAATTAGGGACTGGGTCAAAATAAATTATTTATAAAACCCCGGGTCCGATATAAATTTTCCAAACTTTTATCTGCAAATAGTTAAAATCGACTGTAAAATTATGTTAAATGAAGTGATTGATAAAAGGTAGATAAAAAAAATAATTAAGAAAATGTCAATGACATATAATAATAATACCTATACTGACGATGCATTCATTAAAAGTAGTGTTGTTGAAAAATATTATTTATAATGATATAAAGTGGACGAATATTTTTGGAATAAAAACATAGCTAGGCTGTTTTATAGTTGACTAAAGGTAGGTAGTTTAACAACACTAATTAAAAGTGTACATCATTGAAAACAGCTGGGGACGCCATTTTGGTTAGCCGAATCATTATTAAAAATTTTAAATGAGAGGCCAATTTATTCCCATGTCCGACGCAAACTCTATTAAAGAATTCCTGATCATCGAGATAACAAAGAAGCGAGTTATCGATTTAATAGTAGTTTTTAACATGAGAATAATTACTATGGAGGTTACCAAAATGGCGGGTACAGCTGATTTGCATTCAACGACGCTTTTCAAATGCGTTATCATGAATGCATGGTCAGTCTAGGTTATATCATCGGTTTAGGGTTTATTTTTTTGCACTTAATTTATATTTTTGAAATGCTTTTATCAAATCGCAATAAGCTCCTCGATATCATTTATAATACAATATTATTACCTACACTCCAAAACATATGCGTATCCAGGATTTTGTTATTGATGGGGGGGGGAGGCGGTATTATTAAATGGGGTTTCCCCCCTTAGATCTTTAGGTTCACTTATCGTAGTCATTTGGCTGTATTACATGTTTATAAAAATAATTTTGGATTTTCACTTTTTTTTTTCCTAAAAATTTTTGAATTATAATAAGTAGTTATTTTTTTTAAAAAAATAAGGTTGGCAGGGAGTTAGACAAGATTTAATAAAGTAATTTTAAAACTTTTATTTATTAAATTTATTTAAAAAATATTTAATTAAAAATACAATATATTATTTCTATTTATATTAAAAAAATCTATTAAATAATTTATATAAAACTATTGAGTGAGGTTTATATCAATTTAATATAAAGAAAATTATATCATTAAGTTAACAGTTGTGTTAATAAAATGAATGCGACATATAACAATTTGCGCTATACAACAACCAGTATAAATAAAATAATTATATATATAGATCCATGTTTAACAAATATTAACTTAATTTTTCTTTTAAATTCTTGATTATAGTGATATATCGTAATTGGGATGGGGTGGGTGGGGTTTTTTTTATTTTAAAATGATACTAGAGAATAGGAAGGGGGGGGGTCTCCCCTTTGGTTTCGCCCTTGCTACAAAATTTCTAATATTTCACTTTCTAAAATTGATATAAGACAAGATAAACAACGTATTCCTATTATGTAGGGATTTTTACCCAGAATTAAGAATAGTGTGTAGGAATTTTTCAAGTATCGTGTTAGACACTAATTTATAGATTATTTACGTAACACAAACAATAACAATCTATATATTGCAATATAATTTTAACCGTTTGCTTAATATAACAAGAAAAAATAATTATGTCTCTCCGTATATAGCCGCAGAACAGTAAAATTTAAACATTTATATAACAAAGCTAAATATAATACAAATATTTGTTTTTTTGTATTTTCATGAATTTAATGAAGAAAAAGAATTTTTTTGACATCTCGAATCTTCCACTTTTTAAAAATGGTCCGGACGTGGGTTCAGAAAAAAAATACAAGGGTCTGATGGGCTGATGTATATCGCATAATCAATATATAGCAAGTACTAAACAACGACTAGCATAGGTACCATATTCCCATTGAAATCTATCATCACTCTCGGACAAGGATCATGTATTACCTCTTCTTGTATCATCTTTACACTTCTAATTACATTTATTTGGCTTCGCGAATATATCTCGCTTGTCTTCAATAACTGACACGCCTGGACCCGTGTCTTATTTTTTTTTATAATCATATAGTCCCCAATTGCCACAATCTCTTGCCACATGTCCCGTTTCTCGACATCTAAAACATTCCGTGGTTTGCTCTCCAACTCCCTGCAACTGAGGTACTCCTCTCCCCTCAATTCCACTTTCAATAGTACGCACATTTGAAGTACTTTGTCCCATTCCTCATGGCGGGAAACCTCCGAGTATTGTAATTCCCAGTATTACATTTCTCCTTATTATGACCAAATCTTCCACAGCAGCACATCGTAATTTCTCTTGTTTTCCTGGACAATAAAGGGGCCATATGACCAAATTTTCCACATTCGAGACACTTTGCCTCCCGACAATCTCTAACCATATGTCCTTGTCTTCCGCCATTATAACACTTCATCCTTCCCCTCACTCTAGAATCAAAGCTTGGTCTTATTTCCCCTCTCCTTCCCTGAGAATTCTCTCTTGGTTTCCTATATGGCCCCAACCTCTGATCAGTATATGAATCTCTCTAGGCTTACATGTTAATTTATCTACATCACTATCTGTCCACCTATTGATTAATTACTAACCGGCAGCCACGTTACCTTTCCCATGACATCCTCCTCTCCATTATGCCCCTTTATCTTCACGCTACGACTTTTCTTAACTCTTCTTCCCCAAATCAAGCTACACATCCATATTACTAAAATGAACAATGCTCCCACAATATTATACAGTATCTCCCAGCACTTTATAAATTTAAAGGTTTTCATTTTACCGTTACAAAAAATCAACACCTTTAATATGAATATCCTAACTACCTGTAATGTTAAGAGATAGAATATCATTAAAACGGACCCAGTTGTAATTTAACAAAATAATGGGAACTCACCCTTTACGATTTTGTAATAGCGAGATTTAGTATTTGTAATAGCGAGATTTAGTAAATGAGTGTAAAGGAGATAAAGGGTTAAAAAAAGTAAAAAATGATAACATTTTAAATTCATTAACATTACAAATAATAATTTTATGTCCGCAAGGTGGCGATACTATGTAAAATTAGATTACAATCAACTTCTTTTTTTTTTCGTCCCCAGATAAATTTAATTTGACAGGTAATAAATTAAACCATTATTTTTTTTTAAAAAAAAATTACAGCACGGAGACTCAATGGGAAATTTAAATTCTAGCATTTCCCAACAATCGAAGATAATGTTTTTCACGGTGTGGCTTGAAACCTTTTTGGCGATAGAAAATTTCCCTTTCGGTAATTTTTTAGAAATATATTTTTTTTTAGTTTTACTGAATCTATAGCTGGAATTCGCGATTAAAAATGGCTCCTGAGCCGATTTAAAAAAACGGCTAACAATATGTATTATCTACAGAAAAATATTGCCTAAGCCACATGATTCGGGCTAACAGATGTTCCAAACCTTTGTGCCATCTATGAGCAAAGTCCTTATGTTTGCCTAATACTTTTCTGGATAAAATACAGAGTTAGCCGTTTTAAATCGGCATAAATAGAGCGATTTTGCATCACTAGTAGGCAGAGTTGTTAAAGGATCTCGATACAAGTATCTAGATTTTGTATCTAGATATAAAAAGTGATATTTGTATCTTTATCTAGATAGATTTTTGATTAAAATATCGATATCTAAGATATTATTTTAGACGATGTATCTGTATCTAGATCCATTTAAAAAGTATCTTTTAACAACTCTGCTAGTAGGAATGGAATGATAATATTTTTTTAAACTTAATATCAGAGACCTGCATGCCTGGCCCATGCACGGATCGGACCATATATTAATCTTTTTATATACCCGGCCTAAAAAATTTTTTTAAATACCTGGGCTGGTAGTGTTGCTAAAATGGCCGATTCGGGTCTAAGGTTTGGACCTTTATTTGCCAAATCTCGAGGTTTACATAACATTATTTTAGCTAAAATCTTAGTCGGACCCGTTTTTAAAAATAAACACAAATTGGGATTTTTAACTATTCTACGGGCCGGGCCTAAATGTATTTTTTTTTAAAAATCTGGGTCGGGTCTGAAGATATAAAACACGGGCCGAGCCGAAAAAAGCCGAATTTTTTTTAAAAAAAAATCCGGGCCTTGCAAGTTGTATCTCTGCAGGCCATTGTTTTTTTTTAAAAATTGACTATAACTAAAAATAGGGTATCTAATAATGAGTTCAAATCATTACATATTGTTAATATGGCCGCTATTTTTTTATTCTAAAAAAATGAACATTTAGTACTTTTGTCAATGTCAGCTAACAACCATCACGTGATTAGTGCCAAATATGATTGATATCATTGGCAAATGATCATTTTAAATCTACCCGAAAAAACAACAACTTATTTTCCTTTTTTTTTAAATTTTTAAAATAATCAATCATTATTATTTTTTTTTAGGCGAATTATACGAAACGTTCAACGAACAATCTCATTCTTCTACAACGAACCAAACGAGTCATAATACCTCTACCCAAGAAAATAAAATCGACATTTTTGTCATATTTATTCACCCACTTAAAAACGGACTCTTTCGCATTTTCGTCAAAACATCTTTGCGGGGAAGGTTAGTTGAAAGGGACATTAATACTTTTCTTTTTACTCTGCCTTCGCCGCGAATTCCCGCTTACTGTGAATGTAGGGTTACGCGATTGCGATTGTTTTTTTACGCAATAAAACTTTGATATCCTTTTATAGAGAGTTGTCATTGTTTTTTATATTTTTTTTTACTATTTCTTACTTTTAAAATTTTAAATCTAATTTTTTTTTTCCTCATAAAATATTTAAATTTAAAATAGGGTTAATTCAATCCACCCTCCCCTCTAGGGCATCCTGACACGGGAATGTACAAAGGAATCGCGGCATTAAGTCTCGCGGGTCAGGGGGTTGGTCAACACATAGTCACTACTACAGTATCTATTTTATATTTTAGTCCAGGGAGGAGGGTGAGCTCAGCTTCATTTGCTTAGGGAATCTAGAGGGATCTACCTCCCTTGTGGAAGATTTTAAAATTTCTCCTGTTTGATGGGGGGGCAGGAGGTAATCAACTTAAATTCTACTTATAAAATTTGAATCGGACCAATTTATCCGGCCCGTTCCACAAAAAAATTAAAATATTTAGCCCGACCTATCTAATCCTAATAATTTTTTTTAATGATCATATTCCGATTCAAAAATTTTTTTTAAAATGAACCCCAATATTTTTATATACTCCTTAAGAGGAAAAATAAATTGGTGTTATTCTTGAAAAAAAATATTAATTGCAATAATTTAAATGTACTGTCTAGAGACCCGGTCAGGTCCGGATTACAAATGTTAAATCGAGATTCGATTTGACCTTGACCGAAAAAACCCTGCCCGACCGGCTAGAGTTATGACCAACATCGGTCCGCGCAGGGATCTAATTAGAAAATAAATAACGAACATGTTTCAAAAAAAATATTATTGCAGAACCTCTCTTTCATTTCCGCTCTTCTCAAACATCGTTGTAAGCAACCGTACCTTGTTTCCCCTTATACGCGAAACCATTATTCACGTTAGCCAAATGAAAAAATTAGAAAATGAAAGGTACGAAAAGAAGATAATTAAAATTGTTTACATTTTATTCTTCCTCTAATTCTCTGCTTTTTAATAGTGATTGATTTAAGAAATATTAAGAATTACATTTTGCGATTTAAATGAAAATTTAAATATTAGAGATGTAAAACAAAAATTTTTTAAAAAAACTGTTTTTTTCCTTAAAAAACGAGGGGAAAAAACAAAAAAAACATGCCTAAACTCTCTATTGCACTTTGTAAACCTGATGCAACGCTTAAATATTTCAATATAAATATTGCTATAAATGACTCTATCAGGCGCGTTCGCCGCAGCTTGCAAGCCAAAAAATCCAGATGACGACTAAAATATTTTTCAAAATATTACTGTTTTAATGATTATTAATTTATATTTTATGATCATTCCTACCTCTTATCGCATATATATTTGAATTTACATTTATCATTCACAATTTCAAATTTTGGAATGGATATAAGGACTTTTATTTTATCAGTTATTGATGAAAGTCCCAAATCCTAGTCATCTTGTCAAGGGTATGATGGAACCCTTACAATGAGTGGATAATTCATTGGGCTTCGGGTATTTAAAAAAGGGAAAGATCCAACGATTATATATTTGTAGCTCTCTTCCAGGCACATTTATCAATTCTGGTATATTAAATACCTACCCAAAATGAGCGGCTCATTGAACTTCGCAAATTCTGATTCATGTTTTCTACCATTGATATCAATATTGCTTAGGTTTAATTTTGTTTATTTTTAGTAGTATTTTCTCATTTACATTAAGGCAAAAGATCTATACCATCTATGAGATGTTTAGATATCCCAAGAAACATAATATAATAAACAGTTATATCTGAAGCTTTTTTTGCCCAACATGGAGAAAAATAATACACAAAGGTTACCCAAAAAAGATGAAGCCTATAAAAAGTGATGGCTTTTATGGTGTTACAAAAGCCTTTTAAAAATTCACTTTGTGAAATGACCGAATAGCCTGAAAAGGACATTTCTTTAGAAGCCGATAGATTATTGGACACAGTACTAGAACCGAATTTGTTTTTACATTAGAATGTATTAATAAATTAATTACGCAACTATTTTATGGATTTAATTAAGATTAAAAGAATAGGTGAATGTATCATATTGGAACTTATGTAAATTAGGGCGCAGAGTCTATGAATATAATATATGTCTACCTCGACTCGCAGCAAGGCAAGCCCATCGTTCCAATATTAATATAGGGTCAGAAGAAAAATACTATAAAATAAACTTTTCTATTTCCCTCTTGGATAATTTTATCATTCAAACGAATGAAAGGGTTTTTGATTCATCATGTAGCACTTATAATATCACAGAATCTTTCCTAATCTATTTCAAATTCTTGACAGAGGAAAAAATTAAATATTTGGCAATTTTACCCATCTCTACCATTGAAAGAACATCTTTCTTATTTAAAAAGAATATAAACATACCTTACTACCTCTGAAAATAGATTGAATAGTGTTAGCCCTTCTTAATATACATAGGGAATTTACATAACGCTGTTGAAATCATCGAAAAATAAACTCAACTACAAATTTATAATAAGCTTATTAATTATATTTTTCTCCTCTTTGGTGAATTCTAAATTTATAAACAACACGCAATATTTCTTAATAATATTTTCGTTCATAAAACGATATTTCTAACATTTAATTTTTTTTAAAAAATATAATTTTTAAATTTATATTTTTTTTTGTAAAAAATCCTTTTGTTGAGACATTTGTTTTATGTCACTAGTGGCTAATCCTAATAAATACCCGTAGCTTAAGATAGAATACTCATAAATTTTTTCATATTACTCCGCCCCCCCCCCCCCCTTAATAATATTTGATAGAAAAAATAATGTTATATTCATGGACAATGCGCGTTAGAGCACAAATTCTTTTATAGCAGTATATTTATATTCAAATATTTAAGACGTTGCCTTACATTTTTAAACGCTATAACAATTTAAAAATGTTATAATTCTCATTTTATTTATTCTCTCTCTCTCTATATATATATATATATTTAAACAAGGTAACCATTTTTTTGCCCGAATTTTTTTTTGTTTTATTCTCTTAAAATCTTAAATTGATAAAATAAATGATATGCAAATGCAAAAATATCATTTTTGAAATAGAACAATTATTTGACGAGGTAAGACACATCGATACCCCGCATTTGTCTCGTGTTACTTTAGTAATGTCCTTTCATCAGTCATTTTGAACCTCACCCTTTTTTATCATTATACTTCCAGCCAATGAGCAAACTGATCTTTCTGGATTTGTTTAACTCTGCGCTGCGCCATTTTTACATTTTTTATATATTCGACTTGAACCGATTTCCGTCTACTACCCAAAGCTGAATTGGTATTTTTTATTCCCTCTACAAAGGACATCGGCGACTGATATTAAAAATATTTTAACGAAATTTGAAAACGAATCAAAAATTATTTATAAAATTAAATTTCTTTTTCATTAAAAATAAATAAAAAGGTTAATTTAAACAAACTCAATTTCATTAGATAGATCACTTGTGAGAACGACAAATTTGCTATTAAAATTTAATAATTTTTTTTTAAAAAAAAAACAACTTAAAGAAACAGATTAAATTAAATATTAAAAATAATAATTTTTTTAAAATGAGGAAACTGATAACATTTTAAGAGTGGTCGTTTTATTCTTTTTTAACGATATTTGTATTTATATTATTTTATTTTTCTTTTAGTCACACTACCCCGGAGACACTGCGCAAAACTGAAATACAGAATATAGTTCAAAAATATTCTACGAAATTGGACCTAAAAACTTTTGTTAAACTTTTACTGTGATCTTTTTACAAAACGAATAAGTATCTTTTTTTTTGTTAGTAAAGTATCGATTGCATAGTTAAATGATACAATATAAAAAACCTGATTACGATAATGGACCAATGTAAAATGCAGTATTTTTTTTAAAAAAAACATATTTATTATAATATTACGCGTTGAAAAGAATTATTGTTATTTATTTTATAATATAGACATTAACACTAAATTATATTTCGGCAATTTGAAAAAGAATCGAGACTTATTTATAATACAATAATAATAATACATTATTCAATGACATTAATGCTAGCTAAGACTGACAATTTCAAAATCATTACAAATGTATCTCTTTACATAAGGCGTCTACTATAGCTGATTTTTCAATGTGTTTACGCTTTTTATAAATTAATCGCCAGTATCTATGCTAGTATTAAATGTTATTTCGATAACTAATTAGAAAACCATATTTTGACAATTTATTATAATTCATATATTTTTAAAATTATACATCTATATATTTTTTTTTATCGCAATATTTGGAATTTATTATAACGAGCGCTTTTCGTATAAAAAATTATTTTTTTTCCTTCTTTCGGGAAATCCCTTAAAAAAAACATAATTTTTATCATTGACTTCTTTTTTAATTTATGAACACAATAATCAGGTTTTTTATATTCTTTATACATACATCTTTCAAAGACTTTAAAAATTATTACTATTATAATATATAAACACAATAAATCAAATCATTGCGCGATATTCATTATTTTGTGGTATTTAGGATACGGAATCCATTTTGTTTTTGGAATTCTTTCAAATTTTTATATAATTTGCTAAATGTAGCTTTAGCTTCCTGTCCTACCACCTTTATTAATTTCGGACTGTTTTGGCTTGTGAACTTTTGTTTTATTTATATCAGAGACCTGCCTGGCCGTATTTTAATTTTTTTTTTAAATATACCTCGGACCGGGCTTGATGTTTTAAAACCGAATAATTTTAAATGACCATTATTGGCTATAATAATTAAAAATAAATGCAATATATTTTTAAAAAAAATCCGGAATGAAAATATAAAACCCGGATTCGGGCCTTTCACCTCTGCATATTTCCGAGTCATATATATTAGCGCCAGTGAGTTTTTTTACCGGCAATGTTTCATTTTTTCAACTTTAAAATCAATTTTTGAACGCGTTTATTCAAATCTGATATAACCGGAAATATATAATCTCATGAATTGCAGACAATCTTGCTGTTGGTTGACCTTTGAGTCATTTATAATTTGTATTAAAAAAAAATCTACGTGAAATAAAATAATATAAATTTTACATTAAATTCACGAGTTCGTGGCAAAATTGTCTGAAATTCATAGGGAATCAGATTTTGAAATTTAAAAAAAAAGCGCTCAAAAAATGATTTAGTGTTAGAAATAATAACACATTGCCTGAAAAAATACATTGACGCTAACATATGACATATGTATATATATATAATTTATATAAGGCAAGAATAGTTTAAAAGTTCCCGGCGAAATTGTGCGAAATTCAATGTGTAATGGATATGATTATATCAGATTTTTCAAGTTTAAAATTCGCCCCTCAGCAAAATGATTCCTGAGATATTCCATATCCTAATACGAAATTTGTAACAATATCTATAGTTTATATCTCGAAGAATAAGAAATATGAATCATAAGAACCACACATTTTCGGCTTCTAAGAACTTAGAAAATATAATAACCAATATTTATTTTCCTTTTAAATAAGCTATTTTACCTTAGTGGTTTCTCATATTAATCCTTTATATATATATATCGAAGTGTCATTTTCCCAAGAACCCTTTTAATCTAAGTTTAAAAAAAAAATTATCTTATAATTTTACTCAGGAAGATTTGTGTTATAATATTTTTCCAATATTATTTTAAATATGTTATAGAAAAAAGTGTGAATTATTTGCGGGTTAGAATTTAAATAAGTATATCTTATCAGTTATTAATTGATAATATTAAATCACAATTATTGATTAGCAAATCACAGTTATATAAAGTCATTAATTTTTGCTGTCTTTATCGATTGAGATCCAAGTTCCTTTTTAGCCAACGTTATAATTGAGAGCAAAATAGCTTAATTCCATTCAATGCACAGGATGTTCAATCAGGGGGTTTCGGTCATCGAGAGTTTAAAGCTATATTAAATTCCTTCCATCCATAAATTGTTTTAAAACTTTAAGAAAAGCCTAATAGTATTAAAGTTTTGAATTTTTTTTAAAAAAGAAGGCTCATTACCTGTTTTTCGATAGAATTTTGAAAGATTTCGTAATTTTTTTTGATGTTTTGGGCGCGGTTTTTACAAGTTGAAATGAAACTTCACGAGATTAAATTTAAAAATAAAGGCAGGCTTGTTAGGCGACACTTTATGTATCTTGATATTTCCTTTCAAGAAAAAGGATCACTTCCACCGACACTTGTTTTTAAAGTGCCAGACATATATACCTTTTTTGTTATTGTATTTATTTTAAAAAGGTATTTTAGTATTGGTTATTTATTTTTTTTTTACAAAAATTATAAATTTTACGATTTATTTATTTTAAATAAATATTTTGTTTAGATCTTATCTGTTACATAGTATATTAATTTTGTTTTACATCGTATTTTTTTAAATTAAACTGAACAACTTTCATACTGAAATTTGAATACTGAAGACAATAAACAATTTTGAAAAAACTGGTTTTGTGAAATAGAATGCTATAGATTCTTAGCTGCACCGACTGTTTTTATTTAGAGTATCTGAAAGAGTTCTAGATTCCGCTACATACCATTTAACCATATGATACTGACGGAAAGTCAATTAAGATTTAATTTAATAAATTTCACATGTACCATTTTTATGTCCATAAATTTTCAAGTTTTTATAAACAAAGTTAAAATGATTACATTTTCAGCATTTTATTTGTAATGTTTTTAGGAATATATATATCTAATATAATTTATTGTGCAAAGAATTTTAAATACCGTGTTGATATAAAGAGTTAAAAAGGTGGTTATTTTTTTTTGACTATTTCGTAAGATAAAACTACCCATTTTTAATAATTGCTTATGAAAGATGGGACAAAAAATTACTGTCTCATAAGTAATAACTATTTATGTTTTTTAAAACTGTGGTCAAATCAATGATGTATTTATATACAATTAGATATTTAATAGTGTACATTAGTGTTGTTACGGCAAAAGCGGCCCGATTAAGATTTTAGTCAAAATATTAAGATTTTTGAAATAAAGGTTCCAGACCTTTCTATCGTCTATCAGCTAAATCTCCGATCTTACATAATATTATTTTATCTAAAATCTTAATCGGGCCGTTTAACAACACTAGTGTACATACATAGCGGCGTTCCACCTGACTACTATGTATGCGCAGCGTTAAATAATGAATTGCCAATCAAGTAGTGTATAAAATACACCATTGAGTCAAATACAAAAGTATAAAACCTTTCGACTTTAAATTCATTTTCAAAAAATAAATTTATTTATTTATTATTTTTTTGTTAATATTTTTTTTTTTAAATCGAAGAACAAATCATTATAATATATAATTGGAATTGTTTTTTTTATACGAAATATAATAAAAAAAATTTTTTTTGTAGTTGATGATAAATAATAAAAATTAAATTTGACAAATCACAAAAATCAAATTAAAATTGAACATTATCTGATATAATTTCAAAAAAAAAATAATTGAATGAATGAATGCACGTTCAGATATTTTATGATTTTTTCTTTTTAAAAGATTTTTTTAAAAAAAACCCCCAAATTTAGCCATTTTTCTTTTTATCCACAAAAAACAAATCAATCTAAATGAGTGTGAGTTAAAAAAAAAAGATGGTGGAAAAGATATGATTTTTAAAACTTAACGAATGCACATTTGATTCCTCAAAAAAAAAAATAATAATTTCCGCAAAATATTATACTTATTAGGAGAGAAAAAAAATTAAAAAAATAATATAGTAATGATTAAAGTAAAAACGAACCCTAAAAAGGTGTAGACGTAAGCTAGATCAATAAATATTCTTTGTCGCCCAGTTATTTTTTTTTTCCCCAATAGTATCTCGATACTTTTGAGGAATGTCAATATAAGGTATTAAATATAAAATGATCCTAATTTTATGCCAAAATCTTATTGTATTCTTAGAGGAAGAAGAAGAAGAACGAAAAACATGAAAAAAAATTTTTTTTTTAACATTTAAACAGAATGATCAATTTTGGATTCACAAAAATACACCAAAAAAAAATGGAGGAAAAAGTTTACTTTTTGAAAAAAGTGTGATTTTTAAAACGAGACAAGCGATTCATAAATAAGGTGTGTATACAATATATTATGATTCAAAAAATAATTTAGTTTTTTTTAAGTGTGTAATTTTTTTTTCATTTTTAAAATTAAATATTATTATTATTATCCATAAATATATATATATGACTAAATTTGGAAATTGGTGTAAGATATAAAAAAATATAATAAAGAAAAATGGAGGATAAAAATGAGCCAAATTATTCGGTGTTTTTACCAAGTGATAATAAATAGCTTATTTCAAGCAAGCATTGAATCCGTTTTCTAGCCTTCTATCTTATCTTTAAAAGTATTTTAAAATAAATTTAAAAATTATTTAATTTGAATGGTCTAGATTTTTTTTATAATAAAATTATACTTTTGCAACAAAGCAACACCCGAGAAAGTCAGCCAGAATTAGTTTAAACGGTTCCAAAATTATTTTTTTTTAAAGTGATCGGCGGATACCCTTAGATTCGAGTTTAGAAAACAATAGTTATTTTGTCTGCCAAAACCGGTCCGGCTAGCTTTCTTCGTATTCACTAATTCATGGTTTCACTTTTAGCATCATTTCATTGCTCTAAAAGCATTAAGAATCTGGCCAAAAAATATAATCCAAACTTCGAGATTAAAGAAGGCCAAATCGTTCTGCCATTTTTACTCGAAATCTCGAGGCTTTGGTAATATATTTTCTTAACTAAAATCTTGATTTAGCCGTAAAAACCAGTCCTCAACTGAAGGTCCGGGCCTTAAAATCTCTTTTTTTTCCTCTTAACCAGAACCCGTGCTAGCTCCATGTTGTTTTTTTTAAAAAAAGGAAGAAGAAAGGATCAAACCACTATAGATTCTGTAAGGTGGAGAAGGCCCCCAGATTCTAACGGTGGAATCGTCCGACGCAGACGCTATCATGGTATTTAATACGGGGTTCCAACTCACGCTGTTAACCGTACGAGTGTGACCGGAGAGACAGGCGATAGGCTTTTCCTTGGTCATGTGCCATACGTACACTTTGTTATCTTTTTTGAGAAGCAATAATGATAAAATTTTATTTATTTTAAATTTTGGTAGGTATCCAAACGGAATCCCTTTACGGGTTTGGGTCCAAAGTTGGATTTTATTTTCTTATAATTGTGTGAAAATGCTTTTCCCTTAATTTATTCAAATAGTGACATAGGTGTGCCAAAATAAATTTACTCTCTTCCATTACTTATTTTAAACCTAAGTCAATTTTATAATTTTATACGGGGTTTTTATTTTAACCTTCACTTCCACTTGCGACAAAATCTTTGTTGGCTCCACCGAAGCAGGAATGGATGGTGTAAAATCCTTGAGTTAACCCTTGAAATTTTTTGATAAGGATTTTGTCCTCTAAATCCCATAAGTGAACTCCCTATTTATTTATGAATAATAAAAAATATTTATATATTAATCCTTTTCAGAAAAGTAAAGAAATCTATAAAAAAAATCATTGTTACTTGGTAATTTTTTATTTGAAGATCACAAGATTGTCTTTTTTTTGAAAAAAATTGTGATTCAATCATGAAGGATTTTTTTATGCATAATAATCAAAAAAGGATTTTCTTATAAAATTGTCAATTTTAAGGTAAAGTTTACTTAAAAATTCTATTCGAGTATATTCTCATCTCAAAAAAAAAATCTTCAGATATCAAAAATTATTATAATTTTATCGCGGTTCAAAGAATGATTTGAAAGAATAACGAATTGATTGGGAAAAAAAACATATTGAAGCTAACCTGGTTGGCAACGTTGAGCAAGGCTAATTTATCGTCTTCGCTACATATGAATGACATTATCGCGTGGTCTTCTTGTAACCTATAAAGAAAATTTCGACGATAACAAATATAAATATTGTTTTTTGTTAACTTCAATGGATTTTCCCAGTAAAATAAATCACTTTTTAAGGATTCTAAGAGGTCTGAACCCGCCCCGTTTCCATGTTACCCGGATTCGATGGGTTGCCCATAAGTCGGTCTCTGTTAGGTCCGTGGTCTCAAACCCTGCTTTATTTTTTATTGAGTTTATTTTTCACCGCCATTGTAACCTTACCCAAAAAAAGTGTTGAAGATATGCGCGAGGTGAGAGGTGATAATTCGTATAAATTAATTCCTCTTAAACCTCACACTTTTTTATGTATCCAACTGAAAAAAAAAAATTTTTTTTTACATATTTTTATCCTTGAGTTCTTCAAAATTATAAGAGCGTATGCGGTGATGCGTGTCGGAGGCTAGAATAGTTTTATCGTCGTGAAAGGCCCACATACACTGGATTCTAACTCCTTCCCAACTTTCCACGATGTTCCCGTCTATGTCCTGTATATTGTGCGTTATAATAATGTATATTATAGGGATCATCCAAACCAGGCTCGAAACGGACTAAAAATCCCGGCCTGAAATTTTGGGATTTTTCTTTCACAATAAAACATTCCTAATGCTTAAACTAATCTCTAATGTGCGTATTAAATTATAAAGTTAAGTGATCTCATTTGAAGCTTAATCATGCACCAAATATAAATGTAACTAAGGTCCACTATGACATTTCAACTTTAGAAATATAAAAAAAGTTAGTGTTGGGAAGTGATTTTTAGCCGGATAAGCTCGTTTTTTAAGGGAAAGCTATCCATATCAAGTTCAACAATAAAGAAATCAAATAACTCGCGGCTTCAATGTTTAGCAGATTCCTTTGAAAAAGGCCTGTAAATTAAACCAAATCTATTTTTAGCCATTACCCATAACTCTACGGCAAGGAAAATAATTAAATATATGCAGAAATCTGTTTATGAAAATTTCGTAAAATTTTAAGCAGAGTTAGAGAATCGATCAATAAGCATCTCATTTCTTTATAATTAATATTTTACAATCATTCAATTAATCATTTCAATAAAAAACAATTAAACATGATAATAGTAGGGGGAAAAAAATACGAAAAAATATTTTACGCATAAGTAAAACTGTCCCCTGGTACCCCCGGTGGCAAATCTCTTCCCATCTTTGTGCCACGCTGCGCTTGTCAGGCTATCATCTGGAGAATGGCGCATTTTTATGTGCAACTCACCGGTCTGTTAAATGAATATATTTTCATTTATTTATGAAGCTGAATAATTACAATAATAAATAAATGGACATTGTTATAATGGGCGAGAAGAAAATATTTAAAAAAAAGGAAAAAGTAATAGTTATTATTATGTTGTTATTATAAAAAATAAATAAAAGAAATAGCGCAAATTGTTTTTTTTTTGTAAAAATTATTATTTATTTATTTATAAAAAAAAAATGTGTACATAATGCGCGAAAAAAAGAATTGTAAATAATTATTTTTTTTTTTAGTTTTGTTTTTTGTTTTTGTGTGAAATTAAAAGAAAACAATAAAGAATATCTAATAAAGAATATCTTGTAAGAACCACTTGTGTTATTTTTATTATCGAGTAATTTTGGGTAAAGGTTGGGGAAATAATCTTTTTTAAAAGACATCAAAATAGAAATGCTTAGACATCTATTAGCCAAATCCCGATGCTTACATAATATTATTTTAGCTAAAATCTTAATTGGGGCGTTTAGAAAAATAGACCAAAATCGAGTTTTTTCACCATATTGGGAATTGGATTGGTTTTAGCTACCCACCGTCTCCCCCCCTCCTTACTTTTTTATTACACCTTAGTTATATTAAATTGTTTCAAAATTACTTGAACGTTCCATAACCAAACTTCGGGGCAATCATCTGGCCCGCAAGCCAGCAGCATTGAATCATCAGGGCTCCAAGTCAGGTAGGATACACCGTACGAATGACCCTGCAACATGTGCTTTTTACTCACTTGGTGTGTTTCCTTCATTGAACCCGGCAAATATGTTTAAATTTTTTTATATACATATGAAAAGTACTTGGTTAACTATAACAATGTATGAAGGAAGCAAGATATTTTTAAACCTTTGACAAGTAAAAAAAACATAACTAATTACTAGTCCTCGTCGCCTGAGAATTAGATTATTCTATCTTCACTTAAAAAAATTTTAAAAATCAAGTTTCCATTGCTTTCAATAGGAAGGTTACCCTTATATTTGCTATAATCTGACTTATTTTATAAATATTTCGGATATTTTTTTATATGCATATAGAATTGTATAATTATAAAAAATTCGATGTAAAAAAGTAGATATGGAATAACCTAATTTTTCTCAATCCACTAAAAAAAACTATAAAATTTCTTATAATTAATTTTAGAACGAAGAATTGTTAGTTAGTGATATTATTATTGATTTTTACGAAATTTATATCCCAGATAATGACGGTGGAGTCCTTTGAGCCAGTCGCTAAATATTTACCGTTGTGAGAGAACTTGCAATACCAGACCTCGTCAATGTGATCGCTCAAGATCTGTTGGATTTCGTGGGGAAATGTGTCTCTGCAAAGAAAAATTTTGTTTTATTATTTTTTTTTAGCGAATCTTTAAATAATAACTTGTAGTAGCTATAATTTAATTATAATATTACGTTTTATGGTTGGGTTTTTTTTTTTTAAATATTAGCGAAACTATCAAAATAAATATAACAATTACATAAATGAAATAAAGTCTTTGAATATGAATTGGAAGGGACCGATTTCTTCTTCAATATTATAAAGTTTAATACTCTTAGCCCCTCATTCACCGTTAGCGCGAATTAGCGGTGAGCGCTAGCTGTGAATGTGGGATTAATGAAAAACCAAAGATCTGCAGAGTTACTATTTGCAAGGCCCGGCCCGGTTTTTTTTTCCAAAATATATATTTCTTATAGGTAATAATGGCGATTTAAAATATTAAGCCTAGCATGGTTAGTTTTTAAAAAAAATAAAAACACGGCTCAGGTCTTTTACGAAAACTATTATTATTGCCATAAAGCAATTTAAATCAAGCCCGTTTTGATCAATAAGCATTTTGCATTTTTTTAAAAATAAGATTGTGACCGGAAGGAACCGATTTTTAAAGGGGATCAAGATAAGAAGATTTTTGGTTGAAAACTAATTTGTTATTTATAGGTCAATTCGATAAATAAAAATTCAGAGTTTTATTTATATATATAAAAAAAAAATTTAACATGAGAAATCAAAATGGCGCCTCACCAGCTGATATGTACTCAACTAGACTTCAAAATGTATTCTAATGAATGTATCGTCATAATAAATGTCATTGTGGTTAACGTATATCCTTATAAGTTAATATTTGTCACGTCATATTTTAATTTTATCTTTTTTTTTCTTTTACTTCGAACAAACGTGATCGGTAAGCAAGGATGTACTGGGAGGCGTGCAAAATAAGGTGGCTCCGGAAGAGCCCGAACCGAACGAAGAGAAGTGTCGGTCGTAAAAGGTGCTGGTATTGTGCCGCTTTCTACGGCTATCGTTGTTGTAAAAGGCGGAGGGGGTGTTGGCGAAATCGTTAAAACTGAAGAAGTTATCGGTGTAAGGGAAATTATCGTTGAGGTTATTTTTGTTATTATTGCAGCCTAAATGTATCGATTACAAATAATATAATATTATGTTTATTTTTAGCTTAGCGCAATGTAACTAAATGAGCACCTTTTTAGTTTTGTATGTTTAGTACATATGTTTAATGTGTTATTTTTTCAACTTTGGATCATTTTTTGAAGCGCGTCATTTAAAATTTAAAAATCTGATCTTACCGGAAAAGTATTTCAGCACGTTTAGAATACCTACCCTATGAATTTGAGGCAATTTTGCCAGTGAACTTTCGAACTTAATATTATTTATATTGGTTTTTTTGCATAGAGTTCTCAAAATTTAAAGGTAAAATTGTTTAAAATTCATAAGATAGGTATTCTAAACATGCTGTGATACATTTATGATAAAATCAGATTTTTAGATTCCAAAAAAACGCGCTCAACACATTTTAAAGACTTGATTTTGCCGAAATTATATTCCAGCAGTGCTTCTCTCTTACCTAATTCCAAAAATATTTGAACCGGTTTTAAAGGGTGCTAATCGAGCCGATATTATTGTTTACGAACCGAACCCAAAACCCTTATTTGTTAAGTACAGTACCAGTAAACCCCCTGCCTTTTAATTAAAAGCACGTACACGAAAAAGTAATACCGTTATTGTCGAATACGTTAGTTACGGGTGTTGAAGGCATCGACAAGCTGGCAGATAATAAGGAGTTTTGCTTTGGAAGCCCTGTCCAGGTGAACAATGTAAAGATTAAAATATAGTAAATTAATTTTTTATTTTAAAAAAAAAAATTCATAAAAAAGGATAAGTTTATATCATAAGCCATAAAATATTTTTTTTAAAAATGACGTCTTTAGTCAAACTCCTAATAGTAGATAAACCATTCAACCCCGTAGCAATATTACCAAATAGCTTTCGCAGACATAATTCTTGACACCAAAAAAAATAACAATTTTTTTTTTATAAATGGACGCTTTATCAAATAAAACATTAAGTGGAAACCATTTTACTTTTTTTTATTAATCTTTGAAAATGATCTTTAAATAAAGGAAAACTTCTTGAAATTGTTATGATAAATGAAACATAATGGTACTAAATGTAGGCTAATTCGGTTCAATCTTCAGACACTTGCTGAAGAAAATCCGTTAACATTAAGGCGTTTTAATTTGTATTAATTTTTTTTCCAAATTTGAGCTGCTATCCTTTTCTTTTTTTTTTAAAAACCCCCCTAAGACAAAATGATAGTAGTGTTTAGCCGAACTGCTAAAAATATAGAATCTACCCAAATATAATTAAGTGTGTGCCCTGGTTCGACTAATTACTAAATAACCTAAAAAAAACAAAAGAAGTCGAATCAGAGCACAGTCTACAGGTTTATCTTATTTCCACTTACTACTAAAGAGTCAGCTGTTAAGCCGGATATTTAGCTTCGACTAAACAGGCCTAAAAAGTAAAAGAAAATTTTTTTTTTTAAAAAAAATACAAAAATAAACGAGAAAATAAATGCAAATAAACAATGCCACCAAATAAATAAAACAATCCACAATAGGGTGCTCCTATTCCAAAAGCTGTTTAGCCAAAGAAGCTAAACAACATTAAGTATCAAAAATAAGTCAAAATTGGACACACCCTAATAACGTTTGCTATTATTACTCTTCTATGTAACACGTATTAATTTAAAAATATACGTACATCTTTATTATTTATCTTTAATATTTCAAACATAATTAATAAGTTTTATAAAAATGATTGAAGAATAACAAAAAATGTTAAGCCCGACCTGAGTGTGAACTATTTGATTAAAATATCTATTTCTAAAATACCTAAGTGATGTATATTTTTAAAATTATTAAATCAAACCGTTAGTGGTTTTGAGGATGGTGTCGGTCCCGTCAATCATCTCCATCCCCTCTATACCATCTTTCGGTGAGAAGATGCCCTCATTCGTCCCGAAATATTTATTGTTTCGCGTGAAAAGCTCGTTGTTTTCACGGCTATTTAGATTTCCGAGGGAGAAAGGGTTTGACGCGCGGTTAAAAGTATTTATGCCACTCAGGGGGTTATTCGGGGAAGCGTTGTGGAACGAACACTTTTGCCTTTGAAGTTCTAGGGCTTGAGATAGGAGTTTGGAAAGTCTCTTGGGAGGTAACATTATATTGGCGGGGAGGAAAGCTTTTCAGCGTAATGTTGAAAGATTAGAATTATAAATTATAATAAAACGGGTTCCGAAAATATAATTAAAATATAAGTAAAAAGAGAGGAAATATATTAGTTCAATATTAGGTCACAAGTTTAAAATTTAGTGACACGACAATATGTTGTAATAAGTGTATAAAGCAAAAAAAATGTGAGATAACTTAACTGAAAAAAATCATAAATTTACTTTGCAGTTTTTCCATCAGTTTCTGCCTCGAATTATTGCCTTTTCCTTCCCACGCAGCTGTAGACCTAACATCGTCGGAGCCTTTGCACAGCAAATAGCTTTTGAAATAAGAAAAATATGCGTGTAAAAATTTTTTGGAATATTCTGGAAATAGTATCACGTTCAGGTTAAATCCAAGCGTCATCTTATCATTATTCTTATTAATGGTTATAGATCCGACAATTTTTTTTTCATTAACAAAAACCTGCTTAGTTTGTGCAAATGTTCTGAATCTTGTTTTAGGGCGGATAATTCGAATCTCAGGCAATAGAGAGCGTCTAGCGTTTTTCCTTCGTCCAAAAGTTCCAAGTACTTTTGTTCCAACAAAAGAAATTTCATTTTCTAATATTTCAAGATAAAAACTTAAAATAGAATTCATGTTTATTTCATTATCTAAACACATTACATTAGGACAATAATAATGAAAATGGCACTGCAACAATGGGACATATAGGGATAATATTGAATTATGATTAGCATTATCGTCCTAAAGAATTGAAATCAAAGAGCTTCTCATAAATTGGCAGGTGCCACTTTAATTCCGTAAATGGCAAGAATAGAGTTCTGAAGTTATCCAGTGTCCAATAATTTGACTTAGGATACAAGTAATAATTCTCTTGAAATACTTTTTATTGGGAGAATCAATATCCTTTAACAAATGTTTTCCTATTTGATTCAACCTTTGCGGTTTTAAAATCCAGAAATTTTGTGACTTTCTTGGAGGACAATGTTACTAAAAGCTTGCTTCGCGTGGCTTATAAAATTTATAAGATTACTGCTGGTCCATTCGTTTATTATCATAAACATAAGCTCATAATCATATACAAAGCAAACGGAAAGCACCTCTCAAAAATTTGTCGAATTTATATTCGCTAAGAAATATTCCTATTAGGATCTTTCATCCTAGCCATAACCCAAATCAGCATAACGATAAAGAACAACTTGGTGTGTGCATCACATTTGATTCCTGATCATCCAATTCCTGCTCAAAAATATTGGAAAAAATGAAGTTTTTTTGGGTATATTAAAGGAGTTGAGTTGAGGAGGCTTCAACTCCAATCAATTATTGGTTAACCGTGAGAAGCATTTTAAATTTTAAACCCTGAAACGTCAAGAGCTATAAATTGCATAATATAAATAATGGTACTATCGTCTTTCCATATCTTCCACAATAGGTACTGTCCATCTTCATTTTTTTCGTTCGTTCCAAGCCTTTTTAGTATCTTACATGGACGCAAGATGCATTTTCGAAGTTTAGATGACCAACATAAATATATGCAAGTTATAAATTTGAATCTATTAACGGGGCTAACTCAAACGAGGAGGAGGGTCTGAACCCCGAAAAATTTTATCCACTACATTGTGGTCGCATCAATTAGCTTAACTTATTAAGATAAACCTAAATACTCTTACTGATGATCTTGAATCTTATAAAGGTTTAAGTGGCAAGGGTTTGAGGAGGGGGGGAAATACTCCGGAGGATTTCAAACAAATTCATATTTTTTAAAAAATTGATAAATATAAAATCGTATTACGGGCATTGCTTCTATTTCGCTAACTTGCAGCATGGGCTTAAGCGCGGAGAGATCTTTCATCGCCTTTTTTGTTTTTTCAAAAAAAAAAAAAAAAAATTAATAACGAACTAGAGTTCATGTATCGAACCTGTATCTTACGGGATTGACGATTTATTAATTAATAGGGCCCATATATAGGAGTCAGCTGTGGCGCCATTTTGGGGTTCGCACGCCGACTTATAAATGCGCAAGCCACAAAATGGCGCTACAGCTGACTCTTATGTATAAACACTTTTAAATGAATTTAATGAATGAATGAATCGCCAATGTATTTGTGTATATATATATATAACATCATTCCACAGGCAGAATTTGAAGAAGGAAAAGCTCAAAACATTGAGCAAAAAAAAAATCATTGGAAAAATTTCCAAAAATTAAACATAAAATCCTGTTTGAGCGTTTCTCCAAAAAAAAATCTTTGAAGATTATTTGACCGAACCCGATCAGAGAATTTTTTTTAAAAAAATTTTGTCCGTCCTAATAAAGATTTTTTTTAGATCAAGATCTGATTCTACTTATTTTTGGTTGCCGTCGCGAAAAACAAAAATAGCTGAAAATTGACTCGTTTATATTTCCTAGAATTTAAAAGCAAATAATAAAAATATTTATACTAGGTGCTAGAGAAATAAACTCGTATATTTAAATTTGTGTTTTTTAAAAAAAGTGCTACAAATGGGGAAGGGGGGGGGGGGGTTATCATCAGAATTTCAAAATCCCTCTTTTTTCCGACATAGAAAATTAGGAAAAACAAAAATAAAAAATTGTGTAGTGATCTCAGGCCGACAGGAAATAAAATTTAAATTCATAATCCAAATCTGACAAACCGGAAACATAAACACGACACGTCTTTCCTGTCAGCTTAATAAATTACTTAATTGCAGGACTAACAAGATATATTATGAATTTAAAAAAATTTTTTTTTGATGGAGGGGTGAGGGGTATATATAAGTTGACAGGGCTTAAAACGCAATTTAAACGCGAGCAATGCTCGCTACTGTAAATTAGGCGAATCAACTGTCAGATCAAATCAAAACTCATTTAGAAAAAAATGGAGATTATTCTTAATTATGAATTTTGTTTATGAAAGAAAGTAGGTTTTGATAAAAAAAAAATTGAATAAAAAATATGTAAATAAAATTATATTATGACGTAATAAAAAAACTAAAGCATTTCCGAACCCAATATTTATCGGTTTTTTTAAAAAATCCGAACGGGTGATATTTTCAAAAAACAGGTGTAGCGATTATCATTGTTTTAGGGTTATTTTATGATCATATATATGTCGTATCCACGGGGATTCGTAATCTCTCAATTTTATGTCCTCCTACAGATGGCGATTTTCTAAATTTAAAAACCGGAAATGCATTCCAATAAACATGTACTCTAAATGTTTAGAGAACTTTTTCCATAATCTTTAGAACCTTTCCTATTATTTTTGTAGATATCCATTTTAAAAATAAATACTAAAAAAAAAAGATTAATGGCGAAAATTGTCTAAAATCCATAGGGTGTATATTTAAATATTTAAGGTGCCATATATGAACATTGACCGACCAAAGCATGTCCCATCTGTCCATCGATTTTTCGCTAAACGAATTCAATCATCGTTGAGGAAGAAGCAGAAAGAATATATATATATAATGCAGATTAATCATTATTTTATTTGTGTACAGTTAATACGTATTTGGGGCACATTTGTAATTTAGTACTAATTTACTTTAATAAATAAAATGATTTAAAGTTAATAGATTCTTATAGCGTCATGGATTCCATATCCCAATATGGTACACATATATAATTATAATTTAATAAATATTTTTAATTTGCTAATTCATATGGAATCAAAAAATATGTTTAATCATGTGGATCCAATAATGAGGGAGATATCGCAGTGACCAATAGAATTCTTGAGATGTGGCTAATAAATGCCTAAATCATTGTGGCCATCTATGAGAAAATTGTTCAGGCTCGCGTTAATATTTTTTTCCGGATATTGAAAAAATCGGACTCTAATCGCGCCGTTTTAAAAACTGTACGCGTACCCCGATAATACGTCAAATATCGCCTTGGCTTATTTAGGAACGGAAAATTTTAAAGCGTTTCTTGTTTTAGCCCATAGTTTCGCAGTTATTATTATTTTTGGCGCAGAAAATTTGTATTTAAAAAAATAATATACATATCGGATCGATATTGGGTATGTAAGAATAAACATCGAATGAGTGACAAATTTACGGCCCTAAGTTTCACAGAAACCTTGATGGACCTTAATTCATTTATCAAGCTCGACCCAGATCCGCAGTAAACAAATTTTTTAGGGCGAGGCCCGACCCAGCTTATATTTAATATTTATTTTAAAAAACCCCAAACCAGGCCCATGTACATGGTAAGTTTCAAAAATAGTTCCCAGGCCATTTTTTTTAATTTAGAAAAATTTAGGCCCAAGCTAATTAAATTTTTTTCTTTTTCAAAAACCTCCAGGTTAAACACAGATTAGTTAGAAAATATAATATTAGGTCCACGAAGATTTCTGAAGTATCACAGAGCAAGTTCTTAAACAAATTGGTAATAATACATCTGCCAATTTTTTGTGTTTAAAAATTTATTTTATTATTTTCGGCAGATAAGTTCCAATAAAAATACCACCCTTAATTTAAACAAAGAAAGCACTTCTCTTTTTTTGAGGGAACGTTAAGCCCTCAATTTGTAAGCACTATTATTCTGGCAGACAAATAAACAATTTATATAACCTGTTTTTTTTAAAATTGTTTTTTATTTTTCAAAAAATATTTTTGTAACCTTTGCCAAAATATAGCGTGAAAGAAAAATCGTGATAAGTTTTATATAAAAATAATAATTAAAATATGAAGAAATGTATGTCATCTTAAAAAAAAATAATACGAATCTTTAAATAGTATTTCATTTGGTTCAAAGTGATTTTAGTATTTTTAAAAAAAGAAGAAAAGATTAACAATCTTGGTGTTTAGTTTAGATTAAAGATAGGAATTAAAAGAAATCTAGATGAACCGCGGTAGCCCATGATTTTTAAACACAGTCCGTGGGTTAGGGGTTAAAATTAAACGTGGTCGTGACCGTTTTGCTATCTTTTTCATTGACCTAGGTCGCAAGTAAGCCAGCAAAATCATATGTTACTCTTAACCCCCCCCCCCCCCCAGGGATCCAAACAGAACTGGAAACGGTAAGATTCTTTCATATTAAAGAGAAATACTTTCACATTTTCATTTTAAATACCTGAAAAAAAAGTAAATTTAAAAACATTTTAAAATTATTTAAGAAAATTAAATTCACAAATTTGAAAATATATAAGGTCTAGTTTATTAAAATACAAAGAGAATTTTAATTGCACGATGTCAAGAGCAGTGTTAAGGATAATGCAGAAAAAAAACATGAAGTGAAATACTATTAATATGAATTCTGATTTAGGGAATATTTTTACTCCTATATGAGGATGGCTTCCTATATGTTTAATCTACCTCTAATGATTTAGAGGTAAAGGGCGTAAAAGGATCAAGTATTAAATATTTTAGAAATAATCATTTTGCTACTGCTCTATGTAAGAAGAATGAAGAATTCTAGTGAGATTAGATTAAAACATATAAGCAGATAGTAAGTACCTAAGCATATTTAAGTCAATGGTGTGTAAGTAAAATTTGTGAAGAAACACTACAAAATATTGATAAAATAGCCTCTATTGGATGTATTTCAAAAAAAAAATGACTGAACCTGGTATTAATAATAAAATCCCAAACCTATAATCATAAACGTTTAATAAAATAATCTTCTCGCGCCTTTCATATTTAAATAATGTCTCACACTTTGAGAGGTGATTATCCTACAAATTTTTTGCCGGCGATAATACGGCGGAAATAATTCTTTCCAATCGACTAATTCTTTGATAGCAGCAGCTTCTGTTACAAATAATGCTTTACTCTTTTGGCCTAGGTTAATCCAAATTTAGAGAAAATGCTTGCACTAGAAAATTATTTTCTAACGTGTTATTTTTGCAAATTTACATTTCAAGAAAAAATTACTTTGTTATTAGTGTCACAAAATATATTGATGAAAAAATGAATTTACTTTTAAGCCTAGGGAAGGCCACTTAAATAATAATTCTCATTTATTAAATTTGCTTAAAATAATATTTTTTTAAATAATATACAAAAGATATTCGTATACCAAAAAATGTCAAGTGATATTTGTAAGTGATGAATATTTTTGAATAATTAATTTAAATATCTTTAATTATTCATTAACCATTTTTTTAAATTTTTTTTTATGTATTTGATGATGTTAGCTGTCTAAGTTCAGCGTAGGAAGTGTTCTCAACTATGGAATCAATTCTTTCTCCTTATAGATTATAATAATTTATAAATTGAGTAAATTTTGTAGGTGCAAAAAAAAAATTAAGTTGCTGTTTAACAATATAGGTTTTAGTGTAAAAATTAAATATGCTACTCCCCCCCCCCCTTTTTTACATAATTCTAATAAGGCTAAAAACTGTTTTTAGGCCATCAATAGATATCCGTTATGGGTTCGAGGTATATTTATCTTTTTACAAATCAAAATGTTGGTAATTTTCCTTATAGAAGGACTAAATAGGTATTTTTAAGATATTCCCGTCGCGCGGCAGTGCGCCAATTGACGAGTGCTGTAATAACGTATGATAACAGGAAATTAAATAAGTAAAAAGAAACGGAAGCGGAAGAAGAAAAAATCAGGAGATTGGAAATTAAAAAAAAGAAACGATTATCGATTTAAAAAAATTTTTTATGGTTTGAATTGTTTGGGATTTAAGAATTTGGAAAGAATCAATAATTTATAAGAAATCGGGGGAAATTTTAGGAAATTTATTTTCTAATGTCCAAAGCTAAATCTAAATTTTTACTCTTCAAATAGAGGAAATGGTATAAAGAGTGAAACAGTCCTATTAGTCATTTGTTTGTTTTTAATTGGCGTTAGATAGTCGCCGTCGCGTAAACTAGAATATATGAAGGCCCTTCTTTATCATAAAATAATTCGTTCATTCATTTATAAGTTAAGGAGATGATAAGATAATTTAAAGGTTGAGGATCAAAATTTACTAGAACACCTGTCTATCTATACTAGCTTAAGTGAACTAAGAGTATCCCTCACCCTAAAGGGTAGGAGACATATACTAATACTAGCATATGGGGGGAGTGGATAATAGTGATTCTGCACCCATTGTCCGAGAGCGTATAGAGTATAGAGAGTGCTATGATAATTATGATAATGTTCCAACTCCATTTAGATCGGATTTACATGATATTCCATTTAAAACACCATAACTCCCTTGGCTAAAAAAATGTGAAGGGAAGGAGAACTACATGACTCCTAAAGGGATACCATTTTGAGCTTGGACCATATGTGGAAGAGATAGAACAATATAATAAATGAGTGACGTTAATTTTTTCGGTTCGAAAATAAAATTTTAAAAACGTTTTGTTTTATCGTCTGGTTCGGGGTAAATATTGTCCGTGACCGTACCAGAGAGAGTGAATTAAATTTGCTAATCAATAATTATTTTTTTTATTATAATAAATATTTAGATAATATATGATTTAAGAATTAAAAAAATTTTTTTTATATATTTTATATAAAATAAAATAACCGAAAAAAAAACAACCTTGACAATAAATATTATGATAAAAAATTTTTTATTATATTTTGTCATTTATGCCTACTTATTTACATTTTTTTTTACTGGAGGAAAAATTAATTTATGTATTTTTTAATAAAAAAAAGGACATCTTCTCGAAATCTTCTATTTTTTGACTTTCCGTGAGGAAGTTAAAAAGTTTTTAAAAAAAGAAATAATTTCTTTGACTCAACAAAATACAGCCGCTAAAATCCCAAAAAGGTGCGAACCTCGGGATGTCGATCATTTTCTCGAATCGTGAAACCCGCCTATAAAGTAACCGACAATTAATAGAAGGTTCATTTTCAGGGGTTCGAACTCGAATTAGGACTCGATAATTTTTAAACCCTGTTAACGGATATTCTGAAAAATGCAAACATGACCATAACCCATTTTCTAGAAGAAGTTCAAACTCACCCCAGAATCGGCCCCTGTTTGATCTGTGTTTGTAAAAATGTCTAACCAAACAATTTGAATCCGAAAATGCGTTCAAACCCCTTGGTTCATTCATGGCTAATTAAACCAGTAGAAAAAGTACAATCATTTTTCATTTAATTTCTAAAAAAAAAACAACTCTTCTCTTTTTCTCTCTATTCACAATTAACAAACCAGACATTTTACCTTAATGTGCTTTTAACAAAAGGTACAACAAACACGAAACATGATTGATTGAAAAAATTTAAAAAAAAGTAAAAATGGTTTGAATTTTATCAATTTTGTTTTTAGGTTTTAAAAAATAAGGTAAGAAACAGTATAAATTGCTTTAAGCCAATTCCCTCATTCCGTAATTTTTCTTTCTTTCTAGATAAAAGACTACCAATCCACTCAATCTCAGGCCTATAGCTTTTAGTTCAGTTTATTTAACTCGCAGTGTTTCCTCTATTATTTTTTCCTTCCTTTATTCTTTCCAAGGAAATAATAGTATATTGAAAAGGTAGACGGTATGTCTGATGGTACAATTATCATTATAAAATATTGTGAATACAAATAAATAATGAATGTATGACAAACCTTTCCCCATTCACCGTTCATAACATGTCTATTGAAGTTGGCGGCGGCTGGGTGCTCTAAATAACATCCGGATTCCTTGATTAGAATTTCGGTGGAACGGCTTTATTAAATAAAATAAATTATTTTTTATAAAAAAATTATGTAAAAATCATAAAATTCAATAAAAGTAGTGTGTGTATATATATATTAGAGACCTGCAAAACCGGTCCTAAGCCCAGCGGGCCAGGCTTAAAAATATAAAACTCGGACATTTTTTTTAAAAAAATCTTGACCAGGCTGTGCAAATGGTACTTTTGCAGGTAGGTCTCTGATATATCTAATATATAAAATAAACCCGTTATTTATGACACCAATTTCAATGGCAGGTCAAAAGTGTTTCTAATTTATGTTTCTATTTTTTTTTTTAAATAGTCAAACTTATTAGTAAAATCCTGCCTTGCCTACACGTCGCGTTCTCCGATTTATGGAATAGGTTTTTTTCCAGAATATACTCCTTGAAATATCCAGAGTTTGGGAAGCGGAATCGGAAGACAAATCTAGGAAACCGATTCTGGATCCCCCCCCCCTCTATTTAAAAATTCTAGAAACTACTATCATATTAATATTAAGAACTGGAAAACCCCTCTTTAGTCCTTGTAACCAAACTCCGATTATACCAGGCTTATAATAATTGGTGAATAAACTTTCCATCACTTTCGAATCCAATCCACTATATATTTATCAGAGACCTGCAGGCCCGGCCCTAAGCCCGGCCCGCGTAAATTTGGGCCTGAAATTTTTTTAAAAAAAGATATCCGGGCCGAGCCGTATATTTTAAAACCAATATTTTAAAGAAATCCGGGCCGGGCCTGAAAAAATTTTGAAAAAAAATCCGGGTCGGGCCGTACAAATGGTACCTCTGCAGGTCATATTGGCCCTATATCGTGAGTATCGGTGCATTCTGTATATAATAGTATCGCACATATAATTGAAAAAAGATTGACAGGTGTCGAAGATTTAAAAAAAAACTGATTCACCATTTATTTGATAATGAGAGATGAGAGGTAAGATCAAGAGAAAAATTACTATATTACGAAATTTACTATCAATGTATTTTATCAAAGAAATATCGATGCCAATTATTTTTTTTATTTTCATAATTAATGAAATGTTTAAAAATATTTATTACTTATCGAAAATTATCGAATTTGGCAATTAGAAGGGGTTCGGATTAAAAAAATATAGATTTTATATAATTTTATAATTATAAAATAAAGATAAAAGGCTTTGAAATAAAAAAAAAATACCGCACTTAATGTACAATAGTGTACAGTGTACAACAAGTACGTGAAAACAAACGCGTAGGCGATTGTTCATAATGATATAATATAATATTCAATTTTAAATAATTGGTAAAAAAAAGAAGAAAACTATTGAATAGATACTATATCTGTCAGAACATATCGTTGCAAATACTGTCATAAATGTGTTTTATTAAATGAGAAAAAATATTTGTAAATTGATGAATGCCGATATGTCATAGAAGTGACAACCCTAAAGTTTAGTGATTTTAAGATGTAGGCTTGGAAACACGAGCATGAACAAGGACGCGGGTTCAATCCTGGTAAGAACCATAAAAACTTTCAAGTTTTTCTTCGATGACTGATGTGTAAAGACATATGGTATGATGAATTTCGGAGCTTAGAGATGACACCCCGGTCACCGACAGGCCTGGACAGCCGGGTGCTAAGGATAACCTGTCCAATAAACAAAATGAAGGACACAAATGAAAATATGAATATGAAAGCTAGGGCGTTCCCTCCATGCGACGCGCAGGGTGTAGACCTCCATCCTGTGAAAAATAAAGTAAAGGTCAAAGCAAAGAAGACAAGACTGGCAAGTTTGAATATTGGGACGCTTAAAGGTAAGACGAGAGAATTGGCATCAATGTTGAACAAGAGAAAAGTTGATATAGCGTGCATACAAGAGACGAAATGGAAAGGACAGAAAACTTTGATGATTGGAGATGGGTATAAATTGTACTATAATGGACTTGTTAGCAATAGGAACGGTGTCGGCATCATCCTCAGCCAAGACCTAACCTCTTCAGTAGTAGAAGTCAACAGGATCTCTGATAGACTAATGAAGATAAAACTCTGCATAGGTCAATCAATAATACACATCCTATCAGTATATGCTCCTCAAACGGGTTGCAAGGAAGAAGAGAAAGATGACTTTAGAGCTATCCTTGATGAAGCTGTAATGGAAATCCCTAAGGAGGATGACCTAGTCATAATTGGTGGTGACTTAAATGCGCATGTGGGGAAAGCAAGAGATAGCTACAAAAGGCATCATGGTGGTTTTGGATACGGAGAAAGAAATGATGAAGGAGAGCACGTACTGAAATTTGCGCAAGCCTTCGACCTTGCCTTAACCAACACCTACTATAGGAAAAAAGACAGTCATTTAATAACATATGAAAGTGGTACTAGGAAAACACAGATAGATTACATGCTAATCTCTCGCAGAAGATTAAAAGATGTAATAGACTGCAAAGTCATCCCAGGAGAAGATATCGCCGCGCAACACAAGCTACTAATCATGGATTTACAAATCTCAAATAAATCCACTCAAAATAAGATAAAACTGGAACCATGCATCAAATGGGGCAAATTAAAAACAATGACAGATGCCTTTGCAATCAATGCAAACATTGAAACAATAAATTGCTCACAAGTCAGTGAAAAAATATGGACAGACCTTTCATCCAGATTAATAGACACTGCAAAATCGACGCTAGGCTGCTTGACAAGAGGAGGCAACAAATCACACAAAGAACTATGGTGGTGGAATCAAGAGGTACAAACCACTATACAGGAGAAAAAAGCCCTTTATAAAATATGGTACAAATCCAAAAATGCAGATGACAAGTCAAGATACAAAAAATCCAAGAGATTAGCTACAAAGGCGGTGGCTAGGGCCAAATCTATGGCATACGATGACATGTACGAAGATCTACATACCAAAGAAGGGCAAAATAAAATATACAGATTAGCCAAACAGCGAGAAAAGAACTCTAGGGATATAAACGGAGCTCCGAAAGTAATCAAAAATAAAGATGGGAAATTGATAATAAAGGAAAAAGAAATAATGAATAGATGGAAAGAATATTTTCAGGAGCTTCTCAACTTTAATTCCCACATATTGCATCTCGACGAACACTCCCCTTGTCAAAACCTTGTACAACCCATAACAGAACAAGAAATAATCACATGCCTCAAGCATATGAAAAACAACAAAGCTAGGGGTCCAGACGATATTCCAATAGAGAAAGCCTTAAAGCACTAGGAGATGATGGAATACATCTCCTCACAAATCTGTACAATAAAATACTTGGAAATGAAGAGGTCCCCCAAAAATGGAGGCAGAGCTATCTAGTTCCTATCTTCAAAAATAAAGGGGATCCACACAATTGTCAAAATTACAGGGGCATTAAACTAATGTCACACTGTCTAAAACTATACGAAAAAATAATAGAAAAAAGATTAAGAGATATAATCGAAATAGGAGAGACACAGTTTGGCTTTATGCCTGGAAGATCAACAACCGATGCTATCCATGCAATTAGGCAAATGAGTGAAAAATACAGGGAAAAGAACAAAAAGCTACACATGGTCTTTCTCGATCTAGAAAAGGCCTTCGATAGAATCCCAAGAAAACTTATCTGGTGGGCGCTACGCCACAAAAAAGTTCCCGAAAAATATATAAGAATAATAGAGGATATGTATATGGGACATACAACAATGGTCCGTAGCACAACAGGTACTTCAGCAGGCTTCACAATAGCCGAAGAAGGAGTTCATCAAGGGTCGGCTCTCAGCCCACTTCTCTTCATTACAGTAATAGATGTATTAGCACAGTCTATACCTCAAACAGTTCCGTGGAATATGATATTTGCAGATGATATTGTGATACTTGCCGAATCCAAGGATGAAATGAAAGAAAGGTTAGTGAATTGGATAAATATCCTAGAAACGCACGGATTAAAAGTAAATAGAGAAAAGACAGAGTATATGGTGATAGGAGGAGATGAAACGGAGAGTATTGATATAAATGATTGGCAGATATCCGCAATTGAAAGCTGCAAATATTTGGGCTCCACTATACAAACAAACGGCACAATAGAAAAAGAGATAAAGAATAAGATTAATCAAGGGTGGAAAGTGGAGATCTTTATCTGGAGTGCTATTTGACAAAAGAATCCCACACAAATTAAAGGGAAAAATTTACAGTTCCATAGTACAACCAACTATTCTATATAGTTCAGAAACATGGCCAACCAAAGAATCAGACGAGAGAAGTCTACAAACTATGGAGAGATGAGAATGCTGAGGATGATTGCTGGGGTAACAAGAAAGGATAAGGTGCGCAGTACAAGAATACTAAATAGTTTAAAGGTAGTGCCCATTAAGACTAAGTTAATGGTAAACAGACTTAGGTGGTATGGGCACACAATGAGAAGGCCTATGAACTACATAGGAAATAAAGTTGAAAGATTGGAAGTGATGGGCAAACGTAAAAGAGGAAGGCCAAAACTTCAATGGGGCCATAAAGTTAGAGCCAATATAAAGAAGTATAAAATAGATAAAAGAGATTGTACGAATAACATAAAGTGGAGAGAGATGTTGAAGGAGCTTACCACCAGAAAAGGTGAAAGCTAAAGAGAAAAAAAAAAAAAAAAAAAAAAAAACCTACCCAATATTATAAAATAATTGTTTATTTTGGTGTTTAAAAAAATATATTTAGGTGTAGGGTCTTGTATTTCAAAAAAAAATTTTTTTTTTTAAACCGGACCAAGTCGGGATCGAAGCCGGGCCGCCGGGTAAAAATAAAATTCCCGTCGTTCCGAGTCGGACCCGATAATTTTGCCATTGACGACTTCCTCAATGCTCTATTCGAGCTAGGAGTGGCGATTTTAATAATATTTTAAATAGTGCTACATTGAGCAAACTTCGCAGTTAGAGATCCCCAGATTGTAATTTGTTTTTATTTTTGGGAAGGGTCGGGTTGGTATTTTAAAAAATAATATTGGGTGGGGTCTCGCTTGAAAATAAAATATAA